CGTCTGCAATATTTTATTAACAAGAAGCAATATCTTGTGTAAAGCGAAGAAGTTTGTGTCAATAATTGGTACTGAAAAATAAAAAAATATTTACTAACTTAATAGTCCAGTCAAATTAGCGCAGTTTTGGACAAATAAAAACATTAATCGGTAAAGATCTGAATTTTGGTATACACATTTATTGGGACTTTCTATTGAACATACTAAAAGTCCCTGTCAAAATCTGTTGCGCTCGAGACGCCATCTTGGAAAAACGGTACACTTTTCCAGTTTTTTGCCCATGTCTCGGCAACTATTACTGATACGAAGAAATAGTTTACATGAAAAATATAGTTTACTAAATTCCCTATAAAAAAGAGTATTTACGTTTTTTTTGTATCTCCAATACTTTAGCTGTAATGTCACGTTGAATGCGTCAGAACGCGTTTAGGCCCCGTATCGTAGTTATAGTAAAGAGTATGGTTACTCTTTGGTTATAGGAAGGATGCCGTCTTTTTTATGACTACACCGAAAGCTGTAAAAGCACCAAAAAATGAAAAAAATGTAAAAGCATTCTAGCAATGACAAAATGTTTCATGATACGACGTCATGTTATTTTCAAAAAGGTAAGCGAAAATGATTTAAATTGTTGGAGCCACGAAATGATTTCTGAAGCTGGAGAAGGCCGTTCTCTGCATATAACGTGCCTGCTAATGAGAGATATTTAAACCGACATCGTTATCAGACCTTCAGAAAATACGCGTACAAGGGTCAGCCGAATCTAACCACTTTTACCCCTTCGGTTACCCACTACAGCTGCAGCGGCGCAGCAACACACGTTTCGTATTAATCAGCAAGTTCAGAAATTCCGTGGATATGAAAAATCTCCCGAACTGTGGAGTTGAAGGAGAGTCCACGATTTCCTTGACCCTGTTTGGTCACTGAAGGCTTCCAGTCTACACTCAGTGCTTAACTGCTCACATTGAAGATGAAAGTTCTATTGAGAGAGAGGGAGAGAGAGAGAGAGTTTTATGAGAAACCTTTAAACGTGTCTCATACCAAGCTTGAGTGCGACGACTTCGCATATACATATAAGAAATACTGGCAGAATTTTCAATAAATTTAATGATTTGTAAAAAGTTGTAAAAAAATGTATGCGCGACTGTTTCGAGAGCTCAGGATACTTGATTCCCTATTCGATGTCGGATTATAACTAAAGTATTGGACATACAAAAAAATGTTAATATGATTTTTTATGGGCAATTTAATAAACTATATTTTTTATCTGAGCTATTTTTCCGTATCAATAATTGTTGCCGATATATAGTCAAGAATCTGAACAAGTGCTCCTTTTTTCCAAGATGGTGCCTCGAGCGCAACAGATTTTGACGGGGACTTTTAGTATGTCCAATGGGGAACACTAATGAACATGTGTACCAAAATTCAGATCTTTACCGATTAATGTTTTTATTTTTTCTTATTTGACTGGACTATGTGACTTTTGAATTCATAATCCACCCCACTTTGTATCCTTTAAGCATTACGATCTCCTCAACGCCGTCCATGTTGGAAAACTGTTCACTCACTCTTGACGTCACACCGTACTCAAAAGCGTTCCACTTAAGGTTTCGCCCACAACGCCTCTAAGCTAGTGGAACGACAAAACCGCGGTCGTGATCGTTACGGGCGTTAAGTGGAACCTTAGTGTACACTATTGTGGAACGTACCCTATATAGTCTGTACCGTCAGGTCAGTTTTTGAAGCACATTTGTCCGGACGGAATCGGCCAGGAATGGATTTATATTTTGCCGATGAATTCCCTTTTCTCATCAATATCGATCTGTCGTCCGCGTCGGGCCGGTTCCGTCCGGACAAGTGTGCGCAATTACGTATAAAGCCATTATGAACATTCCATCGTCCATCGGAATTGTTGCCATCTGGTCCGGACCGATTCCGTCTGGACAAGTGTACTTCAGGCTTTTATGGTCGGTCAACTTCAGGAGAGACTCCCGGTCACAAAGCACTTGATGCCAGTCTACATCAGTCGTATGTTTTTCATTTCAACCCTTATTCAACCATACGATTGTAGCCCGCCATGAGGTGTTCTGTGTGACCCTGGCACTCCTCGACTGGAATACCTCTCAGAAACCTACTTGAGCTTGGATAATTTCCAACGACTCCCAAGGCTTGCCGTTCAGTCGCGGGGGCAAAAAAAGTACACCAAGCCAAGTCAGCGCTGCGGTACTAGCCCGTATTACGACGTCTTGCTCTGGGTCAGGTACTTAGTAACGACGAAGGCCGTACACGACTCTTTTTTGTTTGTGCCACTCTGAACCCTACCTTTCATGAGTTTCCGTTGCACCCTTCTCAAGCCGCACACATGACCCATAACTTGATCGCGTATCGCTGTTCCAGTGCCAGCACCATTCCGATTACGTTGCGATGATAGTTACGTCATGCGTACCTCCCTAATAGCCAACCCTAATTTGACATTAAATAATCAAGTTACTGTTTGTGTTTCCATAGCAGACGCAGATTTATCATTTGCCTCTTTTTTTTAAGGGGAAAAGCTCCCTACGCCATCTGGAGAGACGCATGCAGTTTATGTTTGCCATCTTGTTTTGTAATGGCGGTCAGGACGCATCACTCCGTAAATGTTTCTTGTTTTTTTTTTGTTATTCAATGCAGGTATTTGCGTTTCTTTATAATGTACCTACTCGTGTTATGTATGCAGCATTCTATTCACTTTTGGTGTAGTTGTTTATGTTTTGATTACATGGTCTTGACCCCAACTTAGATGATCATTCTTTTAAACATATGGAAATCATCGAATTGTTTGATGTGTTTATATGTACTGACTTCTAGTTTGTAAATTAACATTTTCGTCTTAAGTTAAGACACTCAATGCCGGGACTGATCTCGACAATCAACTGTGTAGGTTCGAAACCCCGAACGAGGGGCGAGTTATCTATCTTGGGAGCGAGAGTCTGCTAATAAAAACTTTTCGGTTTAGAATTTATGTGTGTTATATGAGTTGCGATTCACCGATTTTCCCATATTTTGTTGTAATATTTAATTTTCCCTACAAGGCCATGTAATTTTCAATCTTGCTTTTAACAGAAGGATTTTATTGTACCAAATATGAGTCACATCGTGTGTATGTCACCCTTTCTCAGAATCTTGATACTTGCTTACCTGACCCGTTGTTCCCAAAATTTGTTTTTTAATCTATACGTCACCTCTAGAAACCTATACATGCTACAATTTTGAAATAATGCATTCGCATAATTACAATTAATTTTACTACACAATTTAATATTAATTTGGCGGCTGGTTTTTTTTTCTTGGTAAGTTCATTTTTCCCCAGCCTATTATTATTTTTATTCCGTGAACTATATATCATTTCCAAAGTTTATTCTTGCAATGTAATATTTCGATTAAATTTTCGTTTTCATAATCTTCATGATAATAACAATAATTACTAAACAACTTTTTCACAATTTGTGTTCCTTTCCAATCGTACTTCAGGTCATAACGTTTGTTTACAACTAACGTAAAGGGGCCCTGCCTTAGATGTTTGATCCTTTAGAGATCATTTTTTGTTAATATGTATGATATAAGTAGAGACCGGATTTCATGCTTTTATGCATTACGTAAATATTGTATGCAGCTCAAAATAAAACAATAATTTACACGAATTAACAAAAATGAATCACATTGGCGCAAAGAAAATAGTGCACATTTTGCATTTTTGGGGTTTTTACAACTCAGCATTAATTTATAATGCAAATTTTCAAGTTCAAAAAAGATGACGAATGTTGGCTGAGAAAAATGAACATTTAAATGTAGAACCTCATCTGATACCTCAACTAAAGTACGCTCCAATTACTTGTGTCGATGCTGAAAGATGTTTCCGTTTATAACCACGTACTAAGTAACAGGCGCACAAATTTTAAGATGAACCACTTGGAACAATACTTATTCATTAATTGTTTTAATACAGCTTATGTTTAAATAGTTTGAATTAAAGCGAAATTTCAATCATTTTTTGTGCATTATTGAATTTCTCATGCTTTTTTGCTATATTTTTGACGTGTTTTCATGGATAGAAGTCTTGCCCCTAGATATAAGGTTTGATAACATGTCACTTTTAGATTTCAAAATTAATTGGGTTTGGTTTTGGAGGGAATAGTCATTCCTTCTCCAAGTGTCATTCCGGGTGTTCATTTTATAACCTTGCCGGGTTGACTTTATTTCTGTGTTCTTGTATTGTTAACCTGGGGGTTAAGTACAGTACAGACGGCTCATTGAAAATATGGCAGGTGCAGACTCTTATGATCAACAACGAGTCAATGCCTACTATCAGAATATACGATTTGAAGAAACTAGGCGTATTTGTAGTCAATATGGATCGCATTCCCGCCGCGTTAAAAAGTAAAAACTCCTATATGGATTGCATTTCTATGTTCCCTGTAGGTACTCTAAAGTCAGGTGAGATGAACTATAATCACAGCTTAGTTACTAAGCTGTGCTACAATGACAAGAATACTCGGCTCTCACTCAGGAGGCTCGGGTTCAATTCCTGGTATGGCAAATTATTTAATAAAAAATTCAGAAAAAAAATAGGTTATTCTTTACAACTGCGAAAATACTCCAATTTGATATACTTTCATCGTGCGGGGCTTCTTTTTATGAGACTACTTTGTGAGTAAACTCAAATATTACCAACACATTTTGATAAGCTTTCCTTTTAATCTCCTCTACCCTCAGTTATTGTTTTGGGTATTGTTTTAGTAATTAGGTAAGTAAGTAATTAGGTCAGTTTCTTGTTATTATAGAATAGTTCTCTCAATTGCCGACTGAAGTTTTTGTTACCACACAGCTATCTGGTGACCTTCTTGGTTGGGGCACAAAGGCTCAACTTGAATATATTGGACTATTCGAGTAGAAAGTTACTACTCGTGCACATTTAATTCATTTGTATGTTCAAAAGTCAAGTAAACTAAATAATTAAAACAGCAAAAAATCAACAAAAATTTAATAAAAAGTAACATAAGAAACATTTATAAAGAAAGCTTTGTAATAAAAGGCACTGTCGGGTGAACGCCTACAATGACCATAGTACCAAAAACATCCATAATCACAACAAAATTGAATTCCTTAACATTTGCTATTGGCCATAAATTAAAATTTTATTCCACATTGGAAGTTCAATTTCCGCCTTCAGCCATTCATGTTTTTATATTAATAAAATGTATAATCCTTACTCCTTAGTGACCAATGAACAAATACAAGCAATGCCAATCCAAATGAGTACAACATATTTAAACATATCACATACAGTGTGACCAAGGTAGAACACACCACAGCGAAACAGCAATGTATTTTTTCGCAAAGGATCCATGGGGCCTTTGAAATTAGCGTTCATCGTACTACTCCAATCTTTTTTTGACATCAGGCAAGCGCAATAACGTACGTTGAACGCTAACTTCAAATACATATCAAAGCCCTCTAGTGGAACCTTAGCGAAAAAATACATGAACTCTGTTTACCTATGGTGCGCTCTCACTGCAACACCTCACAAAATAATAACTAATTGGTCCCCCTGTAAAAGTACTTAACATGAAACAAAGAATAGTAATACACACTTAAAATGGTTACATAAATCTGCTACCACTTCTTCTTTATTATTACCATCCGCATTGTACACACCTATAAAATACATGTACCTATATCTCATCGTGATGGCTATTCAATCAAATAGGGACTGTCCAATGCGCCAAGACCCGCAGCGACACCACCTTCATTTGCTGTAGAAATTTTTGTCCTCAACATATGACCCACTTGACGGTTACAAATTATTTTCTCTGAATCACTAAAAATACAATTAGATTAATTACAAATCGAAACATTTATAGTACAGATGACCCAATTCAATTTCTATTAATTGTGGTAGTCTCATCTAAGAGTAGAATTCTACTAAGACTGAAGCTGAAAGATGCAACAGGCTTGAAAAAGACCATTGTGGTCTGCGATCTTATCTGTTCTAGGGAGAAGGAATCTGTAATTGTGAGCTCTGAAACCAATTCAAACGCCAGATCCAGGGGTCAGTTTGTTAGAGTATATCAACACAACCAACTTACAATTCCAAATCAGGAAAAATATTACGCATATGAGCACAGCTTTAGAGGTAAAAAAGAGAACCGCTTGATGCAATTCTAAGTTGATATTAGTAAGGTCATGTGTTCGAATCAACACGGAGACTGAGAGGTACACCAACGGTTCCACTACAATTATATGAAACTCGATCATAGCAGTAATGAGGAATATTGGAAGACTTACTGTGAAAACATCGAGATTTCTAAAGGATGGACTGTTTATATTTTTGCTATATATAAATTGTAATATTATTATTAAAGGTACAAGGTAGAAATTGAATTGTTCAAACGCCACTGGCGACTTTTTTTTACCCTATAATCACTCCAAAAATGCCCAATTCAGAAACTAAATCCACTACATCTGGCTTATCAGGACAGCCTGGCCGAATCATATATCCTGAAGTTACGGGAGGATTGATGCGGTCCATAAGTATCCAAGCGGTACGTTCTTTTTTATCTTTCATTTTTAATACCGCCTCCCTTACCTCCTCCCCATATACATTATGCCCACCACCTTCTCTTTGTGGTTTTAACACAAACCTAAGATACGGGTGCTGTTAGTTGAAGAAATCATAATGTAAGATAACCTTTCCGGACTGTCAAGTGCCATTTGTACAGCTTTATTGCCATGTTCGTCAAAATCTAAACTATACAATCCAGTGAATATATTCTTGACAGCATCTACTTTCCATGACTCTGACAAAAACTTCTCGAGTGCCCCGGATTTGGCTAAAACTTGCTGTACTTTTTTGGTACCTGCCAAATGATACTGAATGGAAGGGCACTTGATCGCTAACGACCTGCAACAAATCAGTTACACAACGAATGTAAAATTAGGAGTATGTACTTTTCCATTAGCACCCTCGCGTGCCACTCCTTTTGGGATGGATAGTGACTTGGTTCATAACCAGCTCGAAAGTATATAACGGCAACTTCCTTGCCATCCCTGTGCGACAACAAAATAAGCAGATTGGGGCAAAGCTATCTCACTCTTACACAATAAGTTTTTTATTCGAATCTAAGGTTGCGTAGGTGGCTATTTCGGTAAGCGTACACCTCACGATCTCAATTTGAGGTTGCAATCGAACCAACTCAAATTCATGGAATCTTTGATCACAGATATTGTATGTAACCTCTTCTACAATGAAAAGTATCACAGCATTGGGATTTCCATATAATTTCCATGCTTCTAATAATCCCTCACATAAACCTCGTAGAGCGTGGTTTTCTGGTAACTGTAAATATTTGTTAAGTTCTGTAATTATATTGACGTTTTTCATTAGCATTCATCAGTAAACTGACAATTTTGAATAAGAAGAGATAACATAATATTACATTTCTAATTTCTCTGTAATAGTGGCGATACTAAAGGACCTGAAATTGTCAAACAAACAGCATACAAATATCATTCACTATTAATCGCTTCGATCTCAAAGTGTGCAGCTACAGGCTGCTACTAGCTTCGCACTTCCTTAACTTAGCGTTGAATTTCTTTTTGAACGTTCTACTTCGTAAGCAGAAAAAATTTGGGTTCGCACTTACAAACTTGGGGTTAAATTACAACCCTACTGATTGACGGCTACCAGTATATTGTCCGAAAAAAAACATTATTTCGGGCCACGCACTTAACACTCTGGTGGCCCAAAACCTAATGCCCTACCGCTATCTCTCCTGGACGCGTCCCTACACTTTTCTTTTCTACCTCGCCTACAAATTGGCGCTAATACGTTAAAAGCGGTCATCTTTCTGTAACCAGTAGACTGCGCCTTCACGCCTGTATATAGACCATTTATCAAAACCCACCAGACTTCAAGATCGCTGAGTTCGAGCTTCTCACGCGGCATCCTGGCATCACTATGAGTAATTCTCATTCAGTTGTTTTGGTCACGTAAAAAACATTAAGATTGTGTTATCGCCCGTCAGACTGTTGCCTGAAACTTTTCCCACGTGATTAACCGCATCCGATAACCACTGACTGATAAAATATAGCTCGCCAATTTTATTTAGAATCCAATAACAAAATTTTGGAATATACAGACCTCTACCACAATCTCATAATAATGCGCCTACACCAATGTATCCAAATTGTGTTGATATAGCATCATATGCAGGTTGAAATAGTAGCAGATGTAGTTTTGTCGAAGTCGAAATCTTCCACAACACATACACAGACGAAAAGAGTAAATGAATACTTCGTCAAAGGCTAGTCTACAAAAAAGGTCAAATGGCGATATTGAACGGTCTAGTAATGCGGAGCAACCGAATCTTCATACCGAAAGTCTACAGATCTGAAATCCTCGAACAAAAACGCGTATGACATGTGGGTATAACGACGTGCAAAAGTCAGGCAAGGGATACTGTATGGTGTAACCTGGAATAAACGCGCACATATGAGACAAGATAACGAACTTCAATATTTGCATCGAACCCAGGACTCCACCACCCAAAAACTAAAACTGTCTGAATAACAATCGCCATGAAGCGCGATGGGCGCAAGTATGGGTTATGAATGCAATGTAGTAGTGAATAAAGGACCAGAACCAAGAACATATAACAGCAGACACTAGGGTTTACAAACGAAATAGAGCACACCTCAGCATGTAGAAGCCAATATCAGCACACAGGAAAGGCCAAACGTGCGCCAACAATACATAACAAATTTGGGGCGCCGAGTTAAACCGCCGCGAAATAAATGCAATTGAAGTACAACCACTAAAAGCAGACGGGATAGTTTCCCGAAAGACAAACCAATAACCAAAGCGAGACGTTGTCTAGTATAAAAACAGTCGCAGGTAGCCGCCCACTGCAAAACTTGTCTTTTTCTGTGCATGGGTTAGCTAGATAGACGAAAATATAGTACCATAATTTGTGTAAACCTCAGAGGCAACCAGTTTTGCAGTGAGCGCCTACCTGCAAATTGCAGACTGCAATGATAGACGTAACTGTTTTTATACTACACGAGCAATAGTCATATTTGTGAGTGTAGTCGAAAGGACAAAAAACTATGTTCGTTTGTAATCTAAATGTGTGTTCAGAATGTTAAGTTTTTTCTATTCACAAAGACCTCTATCGCGCAACTACAATTAGACACTCTGTATACTTACTATAACTTATTACTATGATTTTTCAATTCATCTACCAGCAAATAATACACAAAACTTGTTCAACCGATCAAATTTTTACATGTAAACTTTTCTCAGGGTCACATAAATCTTGTGTATCATACTGTAAACGATTTTTTCACAGTGTAAAGGCTAGACAGTGCATTCAACATTTAAAAAGATAGCATATTTTAATCTAGATATCTAACTTTATCTATGATCAAAGGGTACATTCAAAAACAACTCATAATGGTATGCTGTAATTATTAGTTCCCTTACTGGCATTTAAGAATACACCCTTATGGTTTTAATAAAGGAAAAACATACTTACATTTTTAAGTTTATCAAGATGACCCAATTCGGATAGAACAAACCTACAAAAAATCATTACAAATCTATGGTCAATGATTTTATTTTATTTGTTATATAGGTATATTGCTCTAATGAATAATTTCTATACGCAAAACAAACATTGCGTGTATCCGTTATTACTATTCCGATATGTAATTAACCTCACTAAATGCAGCGTTAACTTTTTTTACTTCACGACGTCGATTTAAACATTCTCTCAAACAAACTGCAACGCGTTATTGGCCCGTATGAATAAAAGTAAGCAAATGCTTATACTTGCAAAATTCAAAGTAAATACTCGTAAGTGCTCCTTCGCACTGGGCGACTTAGCAGCGCTGCTGAGCAGCAGGACAGGACGCAGTGCAGCGCTGCTAAACCATGCTAAACAGACCAGTATGTTATGGTTACGAGTATTTACTTTGAATTTTGCAAGTATAAGCATTTGCTTACTTTTATTCATACGGGCCATTGTGTGACGTGCAGAATAAAAATGAACAAAGTAAGGTACCGCAACGATGAAGCGATTCTAGCTCGTATCGCTTACGTTAAAGAATGTTAATTGAAGTGAATTTCGCTTTCATGGCATGGCATCAAGTAGTCATAAACAAGATTGCTGTAAACAAAAACTGGATGCAAGCGAAATTCACTTCAATTAATATTATTTGACGTAAGCAATACGATCTAGAATCGCTTAACCGTTGCGGTGCCGTATTTTGTTCATTCTTATTCTGTACGTCAACAATAGCGCGTTGCAGTTTGTTTGAGAGAATTGTTTATGTTTAAATCGACATCGTGAGGTAGAAAATCTTAACGCTGCATTTAGTGGGGTTACTTACATATCGGAACAGTAATAACAAATGAACGACCTATATTCACTACTTCGTAAAGCTGGAGTATAGCAAAAAAAAAACCGTTAAGGACAGTGGTTGGGTTGTAAGAAGAGTCGAATTAGGTACGTCCATAAGTTCTGTCTGGATGTACAGTAGTTTTTAATTTGTGGTTTCCAGGCGTCGGTAGTGTTAATTAAATTTCCTCATTCTTGTCAACCCAACTTACAAGTGAAGCATATCCGTACTGCTGATGCTGCTAAGTTGGTTAATTATAAGAGCAATTGAATAGGCACATACGTTTGAACAGATTTATTTACTAAAAGGAATGAAACAGATAGAATAGAATGTCAGCGCGCAGCCAAATAGCACAATAAAAAAACAAGATACAGATTCCATTGGCATACAACTTAAAAATGTTTACATTATATAAATTTTCAAACGAAATTGTACAGAGTGTACCAAAAGTATAGCACCCAATGACTAAAGATCTGAGTTATTCTTACACTAATGGCAACTTCTGCGTTAGCTTTAGATGTTTTTTCATTGATTTACCGTTGTGTAAGACTAATACCAACATGGATATACCAAACATTGTCATTAGCAAAAAAAAACAACATAAGGTGTATACATTAATGTTTATGCAACCTTCTACCACTTGCTAAGAGAGAATGTGTGCATCACAGACGTATATGTAGTGCCATGTAAGTGTGGTAATAGATTTTTTCTATTTCGGTGTCACAATGATGATTTTGTACAACTGTTTTCGGCCGAAAACAGTTGTACAAAGACAGTGATTATAGTCGTTTTTTTTGGTAACTCATCTGCATCTCTTAAGTTGGCAGTTACTAGTTAGTACAAGTAGGTACAATACTTCCATGTTTGAACTTCAAAATGTCAGTCTTACTACGCTGCCAACCTAAAACTTAACGGCATAAAAAGTGTTCCCAACATAAAACATGTTAGTTCTAATGTTCCCTATAGTTTCTGATAATGATTTTTTTAATTAAATTAAAGCACCGAAATAGAAAAAATAGTATGAAAAACGCGTGTTACAATGCTTTATTGTAATACTCCTATCTTGCGGACACTCGTGGCTACGCTACGCGTCGCCACTCGTGCCACAAGATAGTCGTATTACAATAGGTCGCATTGTAACACTTGTCTTTCAATATACTATTGTTTTTCAGAAGCGAAAGCTGGGTATGCTGAATAGCTTTGTTTATGAAATCGTACTCTCACAACACGTCAACATGTCCACACGATAAGTCAAGAGCGGATACATGGATACTGTGTGGATGATTTTGCAGATTTTCGCCAATGGAGTGTGTTTTGCTGTGCTGTGTGGATGATTTTGCAGTGATCTAGGCTTAGTTGACAAAGCGTGAAAAGAATGAATAATGTTTTTGTTCAATTTCGTGCATATTCAGTGAACAAAAAACGCAGTTATCAAGAGTTATATGTTTAAATTCAATTTCTAAAACCAATAGGAAAAATTAAGAAGCTCAGTATAGAACCAAATGTGTGAAAGAGAAAGAGATAATGATAAATCTGTCCCTTGCCTACAGGTAAAAAGCGAATTAGGTTGAATATATTACTAAATTAGTGTGCATATTACTATCTAACATCATACCTATTAAAGCTCGGGAATTGAGATGAAATGCCAGCAAAGCTAGACGCTATTGTGTTAATTTCCACTTGGTTTATGCGGTTTCCAGCATCGCTATGAGCCATGTAATCTGAACGAAGTAAACCCAATGATATTTTCTAAAAGAAAAAAACTAAATATTAGCTACTCTTACATTTGCACTTAAAAATTTCGTTACAATTAATAACTACACCGTCAGGTGGGTAATAAAACATATGTTGCGTTAGCAGACCTCAGAATATGGTTCACGTTTACCAGACTGTACTTCATACACCAGAGTTGTCCATATTTACAGTGTGTGTATGATCTTTGGTGTGTGTAATCTATGAAAAAGTATTGTTGTAGTTCCTAAGAGACAATTAAAAGATCAAATCACCCATGCACTTGTCAAAGTTGACCTCTCATCCCCTCCCACTAAACCACCACCAATCATCGCGCACCGCTACATAAATTTAACCAATCATTTGTTATGTTAACACCACTATTAACACTATTATTTCATTATTCCTTCATACTCTATTCCTTCATCTGAGTGAAGCTGTGAAACTAAGAGCCTTTTAACGACCAAGGCACGGTAGATATTGCTACTACCAAATCTGAACACACACCAAATCAAAGAATATGATTAACGGCTACATCCAATATAGAGCCTATAAAAAATAAGAAAGTAGTACCTTGTAGCTTCTACATGTAGAAATGTGGAAATTCTAATAGCAGATTCAGATTCTCCCAAAAAAAGTGCCCATAGAAGGTGCCAACTGGGGCCGTGAAATGCCAACCGTTTTAGGCTAGGGAAAAGGAAAACGAAATTTTACATTTTTAGTGATTTTCCCGGATTTTTCAAAAATTTCAAAAGCGTGTTTTTAGTCACAAAAAGGGTCAACTTTGTCCCCATTATTGGGAATTACCTATATGTATTCAAAGGTATTGCGGATGTGAACACGGAAATACATTCACTCATCTAAATGCCTGTTATTCATAAACGGTTAATGAGGTGCCGTCGCGGAATTCTCTCTCTGTGTATTTAATAAAACAGGAAACTAATGCACAAAACCATTATTTTGATCGATTTTTAATAGTACTATCAGTTTCATCAGATTATGCTCTTGGTCTTTTTTCCAACGAACTCAGTGAGAGAATAACGATTTTGACATGTTTGTGTGTTGTTGATCAAAAAAATCAAATGGAATGATATAACTTTTTCTTTATGAAAAAGTAGCCAAATAACACCCAAAGAGGCCAATGAAAACCGTTTTTCAAAATATCGTTCCAAACCTCAAGTATTGGGAAAATGAGATTAATTAATAAATAAAAATGCTTAAATTGTATCTTATTTGACGTATTCCCGGTATTTGTCGATGGCGCGAAAGATAGTTTGGAAAAGGACCCTACACTTTTAGGTGGGCCTTGGAAAATTAAACAAATGAAACACGAAGCATTATAAAATAATAACAGCCGTAATTTGTAAATTATTCTGCTGTGTTTGCATTCAGAAAGTGCAGTTTTTTGAAATTGTAATCTTTTCTAAAATGCCGATTTCTAACCAAGCAGCATTTAATATGCTGGCGACGATGGTTCGTGGTCGATTCGGATAACGCAAATAGAAGATGCGGGCAGCGATGGTCGCATTTTGAAAATGCTCAAAATATATCGCCAGCATATTAAATGCTTCTTGGTTAGAAATCGGCATTTTAGAAAAGATAACAAATTCAAAAAACTGCACTTTCTGAATGTAAACACAGCAGAATAATTTACAAATTCCGGCTGTTATTATTTTATAATGCATCATGTTTCATTTGTTTAATTTTCCAAGGCCTACCTAAAAGTGCAGGGTTCTTTTCTTTCGCGCCATCGACAAATACCGGAAATACGTAAAAAGTAAAAGTAAATTTAAGATACAAGTTAAGCATTTTTATTAATTAATTATTTAATCTCATTTTCCCAATATTTAAGGTTAGGAACGAGATTTTGAAAAACGATTTCCACTGGCCTCTTTGGATGTTATTTGGCTACTTTTTCATAAAGAAAAAGTCAAATCATTGCATTTCATTTTTTTGATTTTTTTTAGGATTTTGGGTCATAGTGTCAAAACTAGCCCCCTGGCGGAGAAGGATTCAACTAAATTAACTATATTTTGGTTGATTCTCATTACCCAAAGAATGCTCTTTTCAACCATACCAAATTTGTTAAAATTGATCAAACGGGTAAGAAGTTAAAGCAGATTATTGCAAAAACAATTGAACGCCCCACACCATCTTTCACCAAATGGACTTCAAACGTTCTGGAAAGCGAAAAAAGTCCAATAAACGGTTGCTAAAGTGTTTGAACACTTTCTAGGTTCTGTTTAGAACTGTTCCAAAGCTTTAAACCTGAGTTTGCCTTTTTCCAAAGTTTCGGTACCTACTCTTTGCAAATCCTTTTCAAAGCTTTCTATGTCTAACCTTTGCAAAGGAAATCACCAAAATAACAAACAAAGTCCAACAGGCTAGGGCGGTGCCAGGATCAGTCATCCATACTTTGAATTGATTTGGGCCTCGCGTGTAAAGCTAGGTTTCCTACTACATGAATTAAAAGTGAACAACAGATCAATAAAGATAATAACAAAAATGAAAAAATTATTAATGTCTTTAATACCAAAAACTGTTAGTTTGATGATCCTTCATAATTACATATAGCTATCTGGACTGGACAGATGTTTTGTGGATGGTGTAGTGATTGCAAGCCGTTGCACACAGCAATACGTTGTCAATTTACATATTGTAGCGAATATTCTTGATAGAGATCTAAGGATTAGCCATCGGCCATAAAGAATAACGGCGGATGTGACGCAATCTTTCCGGGAAATATGACGTGTTTTGTTCTAGAACATTCGAAAGCACCCGAGTTTGCTATAGACGCAAATCGAATTGCGTTTCAGAACAGTTCCAATTTCAACGCCGAAGTAATAAATAGTTAGCGCTGTTGGAGATGTGAGTGATAACTAATATCTAACCTAACTGTTCATTTCAAAACTTTTTTTATTGTTAATAAATGTAAATAAATAAATCACGTAATTAAATTTGCGATGCAATAATTTCTATATTAAATTCATTTTTATATGTGTTTCAACCACATCCGCCAATCACATTGTTTACATTGCTTGGATAAACAGAAGTACATGGTTACCAGAATGCCGAAACAGTTAATTTCCAGATGGATCAATAAATTCTCATACTCTGAAAAGTCTGCCAATGAACGGAAAATCTCTATAAAATACAAACTATTATTTTCAGGTGAAATTACTTCCATTTTGCAGTTTAAAAAAAGTTTGCTACAAAAACATAAAAGCTGTACAGTAAGTGCGCAAAGCGGATGACGTTCAACACTTTCCTACACACCTGGAACTAGTTGGAGCACCATAAAGAAGGTTGAGTTAATTATGTCTGGAAAAAAAGCAAAGCAGATGATGTACCTACATGTAACGTGCCCATTACAACAAAACATTTGAAGCATAGAATCTTCTAAAAGGTGGTAATTGAGCCAAGCGTACATAATGTCTGTGATGTAAGATGTAATGTTTGTTTCTAGGTTTGTTTAGTTTATCATAACGAGATCTTTCTCGAACTTTTTGCTTTTTACAGTGGTGTAATAAGTTTAATTTGTTTAAATAAAAACCTAAACTACCAATTTGCAGTCAATTATGGTCCTCCTTCATCATCTCCCTCTCATACCAATACAATTTTGCATTAAACAAACATTCGGTATACTTATACACTGTGTCCAAGATAAGGATGTCTGTCATGGGGGTCCCGAAATCATAGATTATAGAAGATACGACGATGATCAAATTAGAGAACGGAATTAAAGAGTTATTATCATGCTTTAACGAAAACCATAAAATTCGGATTACTTCTGAAGATATCCCAGAAAACGGAAATTTGCCGATTTCGTTTTTATTTTTTTCTGATTTTATTTGAAAAGAAAAGACACTTTATCATTGCAACTTTTTGGCTCAAAAAGACACTGTTGTGAGATTTTCGTTTCGGAGAAATCATCATTAACCTTATTTTTTATATGTGACCAGTAAAAAAAGGAGACGCTGTATCGAGTAGTATTTTTTATTACGAATATAATATAAGTATGTCACACAAAAAAAAACAAAGGCTGGAAACTGTTGATTTCAACAGGATGGTGCACCCGCGCACAACGCCCTAATCAAAAACAAAAAAGAAACAAAGTTTGTCATGGGCGGTAGGTGATACCTATATATGATAATTCACAGAGATGTTTTTATAGTGTAAGAGCTCTAGCGAATTATATTGCCCTACATCTAATAATTTCGCAAGAAAGTTCTTTAATTGTATTGCCAATGGAAACTGTAAAGTTGGAAAGGGTTAACATAGCAATACATACAACAACAAACTGAATTACTACTATTAGTCGATAGTGCAAATTTTGAAAATTGAACAATGCAAACTTAATAAACATTAATTCTCATCAAATTGTACGTAGATCTATGCAACGGCGATCGCAAAATAAGCTTACGAGAAATATGGCGTTTTTAAATTACATTGATGTTTCAGACATCTGGTTATTTCTTTGGCAAAACAAAACTTGTATCACCTATGAATTCCTGTCGATATTGGTCCAAGCCAACCAAATCCTGCCGCAATAGTATTGATTTCCACTTGTCTACTGCAGCAATATATTGAATGCGGTAAACAATTCTCTGTTGGATTTTTACATTCACTTTCCAACATCACATCTGCTCGAAGAAGGCCCAATGATAAAGGCTACGACATGTTACCACATCAAAAACAGTAGGTACGTGCAAACATGGTAACGCTCAAGCAATCGATCTTATTAGTAATGTTTATTTTACAGTTTAATAACGTCATCTGGGGACAAGTGTATGTTTTTTTAGGCACATGATGTAATGACTCTGTTCGGTACATAATCCGAGGTTATATGCCACAAGAGCAACTATTTAAACATGCACACACCAGAAGTCACTCAAACATTGTACACCCTGGTGTACTAAAAATCCTTTACAAGATCATTTAAGCGATATTAATTTAAAACCTTCCAAGTTACAATACCCTAGCTAAAGCGTGTAGGTAAAATTATTCCACCATTACTTAGTAACTTGCAATGCGTAAATTGAAACAGAACTGATATCAAATTTCATACCTGTGCTGTCCCTTCCGTCAAAATTTGTTCGTAGACATTAAATAGGTTCCCTGTAAATTCATCCACCGCCACCGTATCTTTCAAACAATTCCTCAAAAAATCCGGATTGTGAGCAACCCAGTGCATCATCTCGTTTAGGGTCGGTTGTATATCGATGGCCTTCTGAAACTCTTTTCGTGGGAACGGCGATGGGACTAAAATAAACGGTGCAAACTGTAGAGCGTCCTCACAGAACGTAGTTTTCGATCGCATTGCGACCCCATGCATTAAAGCCCAATCTTTTGCTTTTCGCACAATTTCCTTTAATTGTTTGTCATTGATTGGTAAAGGCAGAACACTATCAAAGTGATGTTTTAAAGCTTTTAACTGCGACATTGTAAGAGTGTCGAATAGTAATGCTAGTTTTTAGATTTACTGTAATTTTTTTCAGTTATAAATGAGATAAAAGTCAATTAGTTACATAAATTTTGAACAATTATTTAAAGGTTAAGTTTTCATTTTCTACAAAGTGGTTCAAAAGTGTGTGAATGTGAATGTTCCAAATAAGGACGAGACCTCTAGCGGCAGTTAAACCAACTTAAAAGTCTGAATAAATTTCTAAAATAGTAAGAGGTACGTTTAGCCGGTTTAGCTTCTTTGTTTGGATAAATAAATTGATATATCTACTATACAGTTTTTGTAATGACTTTCAAATCAAAAATATTGTGCCAACGATTGCTAGTAATTCAACCCTTATGTTATCTGAACTTTTATTGACCGGCGTTTACAGTTATAATAAATAATTGCGAATTTAGCTTTAAGTAATGTCTAAAAATTTGACATCAAATTCAATTCCGTATTTGTTTGTTATTATTTGTTTCTAGTATGGGCCTGGTAGCACTCCCGGGTTACAGACGTTTTATTTTCAGATTGCATCAACAGCCTTCAGCGTGACCTAACGACAGTCGGGGTATGCTGGGAGACCGAAACCGTCAGTTTTACATGCGCTCCGAAGCATCCCAGATAACATTGAATATTTGCATATTCAATACCAGGAATATTCAAAAAGATATATTTGAACATGTATTAAATATACCTAGAATATATACGGGCCTTGTAAGATATACTAGGGATATGCGAATGAGAATATCTGAAATAAACTTGAAAGAATATTCTTCATTTATTCTGAATAATTCTTAGAACATATAGATACATACCCGGTGGTGCCTAGAGTGACGCAGCATAGGGATTTCAATGGTAATTTCTTTATAGCCAATTACTAGCTCCCCTCATTATTTTAGAGGAAAAGTCTAAATAGGTTTTTTTAGAGAAAAAAATACTGCATCTGTTCATACGATTACTTATAATTTTCAGTTTTTCAAAACCGTAAGGGGAAGGGGAAGGTATCTGGACCACAAAGATTCTCGATGAAATAAATCGCAAATGTACTCGTGTGTTGAAAGTGGATAATCAGAGCCCCAATGTAATAAAGAATCCTGTTTTCCCTAGCCGCACAAAGCATATTGACATCAGAAGAAAGTGACAGTTTGGATTCTGGTCAAATTAGAATTGAGTAATTGCCTTCAGAAGAATAAGAACAAGAAGCTGCTCTGCTCACCAATCCTCTTACTTCGAAAGCCTTCGCAGCATCATCGGGGTAAGTGAATTAAGTGTCTGTTTGTCTGTAAAAAAAAAAATAAAAATTATCCTGTAATAATTTCGAATGTTAATGTGCTGCTATCACAGATATTGATGTGAATATCTATGTCTGCTATGAGAGTGATACTAAATTAATAACAGATATTAGATAAAAATGTCATTTTGTCTTTTGCCATGTTACATTACATTTCTTTTTTCATTAATTACATCTGTTTACCATCAAAGAGTATTATATACTCTTGTTACCATTCAATTCGTGCAAGGCTTCTTTATTTATTTAACCACAGATCTCATCAGAAACAACGGTCATCTTGACATTGTGGTTACGTGCATTTCCACAATTTCATCCTATATATCAATATTATTTACAATACTTGTTGGTACAGGAGACACGTTGTATTTACATTTGGAATGACACTCTTGAGTCTTGACAGCTCAACCCTAACCTTAAACATTTAGACTATTATCAATTTAAAATTTGAATACTACAATAAAAACAGTTCTTTTCTGTATTAATTAAATTAGTTTTATTCTATTACGTAATATTGGGACATAAAGCGTTAATTATGTTTCAATGTGTTGTACGAATTGAGTGGTGTGGTGACCTGATTACATACCTATGCTTTAAGTGAAGAATGTTGTAGACACACATAAGATTTGTGACAATCATCATGATAGAAATTACAGCAAAACTAATCAAAGGACATATCTATTTAATCGGTGAAATCGTTGAATGTAGTGTAACATTCCTCCATCCACCCTCTCCTTCACATAAAATTTCTCAAAGCCATGATGATGTGTTCGAGAGTTTGGCATGGGCGTCTGCTCAAATTAATTGCCAATGCACCACTAATTTAAAATTAAACAGCGAGGATAATATTAAGAAAGTGCCAACTTTTAACATCAACGATACAGCTCTACCGCTAAGTGTACAAGATTCTGGTCAATTAGAACTGTCCACCAAACCGAAAATATTGTTCTGTGATTTACGCTTGTTACCTGGGCAGTCTAAGACATGTAAGTAGTTTGTTCCTAGGTTTGTTTTACAAGATTGTTTTACAGGATAATTACAATATTAACATTTAGCATTTACTACACATTTCATTATTGAAAGCGAGATTAAAAGTATTCAATTTCCATAATTTTTTCCTGGATAACAATTTCAAGAAAGTCGTCTTCTGACTGTAGCACTTTGTACTATTTGTGAATTCACACATATGAAAGGAAATGGGGGAAGCTGAAGGTAACATGTAGATGAGCTGCATGAAGCCCTCATTAATCAAGCTACAAATTCATGAAAAAAAGTATCGCTTTTAAAATTAGTTGTACAAATACCTAACTATTTTTCTACTGGTAAAGTAGGGTTTGTCGGCAGTTGTTCAAAGTGGTTAATTTAACTTGTAGTCAATAATGAACACTGTCACGCACACGCTTTCCCTTTTAGAAATCACAACCCATAATTATTTTATAGCAGATGTTAAATTGACATTTTAATAGGTTTGAATGAGTAGGGCCAGTCGCACTTTAATGGTGAGGGTAGATAAAGTGATCATTAACCGCAAGGGTAGATAATGTGAAACAAATGATTGTGCATTCTAATGGCAGCTGTCATTCTTATTTGAAATGGGACGCGGAGCCCGGTATAAAATGACGTTCAGAACATATGACAATGCTGTTTCCGAGGCTGCTTTTATGGAAACGACCGCGACGGAAGAACCCAAGCATGCTATTTTTGACATTTAAATTAAATGCAGAATTGTCAGAAGCTTACCAATGACTTATATGGCTTCTGCTATAAAATAAAGTACACGACAATAAAGGGAAACTAAGCATCTCGTGAAAGTTAATTCACTAAATGGTTAAAATATCCCTTTATCGTCTTTTATTTATTGTTGGACCCGTTTCTAGAGAAAATATTCATATTACCTATATCCGAGCCTGTGTGTCTCAATGTGCGCCCAGGCTTATGCTAGGATTTTATTGAGGACCCCAAAGCAAATTTTCTTCATGGTTCATACCACCAAAGTTCCCAAAATACTGACATTTGTGTAGCTTTTAAGGGTATGTAGATATAAAACTGGCTTGGAAATTGCGATATTGTAGTGTTACTTCTTGTTTCTGTTTATTAAGAAGCATATTCTTTTCGCAGATATATTTAAAGAAAAGATACCGAGTGACTCTCCCCCATCATACAGAGGACAACTCGTGAAGTATTCGTATAAACTTATAATCGGAACTCAAAGAGTGAACGCGCCTATTAAATTATTGAAAATACCACTACGCATTCTTCCCATTACTACTCAGGCACTAAATGAGGCCAGCGGATTGTGTAACGATACCACAGAAGACCTATCGCCCGCTAATCCATTTTTGGAAGTTCGACAACAGGACACTCCGTTCGAAGTGGCACTTCGTACATTACAAGTTAGTAAATTTGACGTTTGCGTCGTTAATCACACAATTGCGATTGTAGAACATAACGGCGAGAAGAAAGCCCAATTTTTATATGATATCGAATACATGGGGGAAAGTCGCAAGGTTTTGTTTATTCAAACCGGCCTATAAACTAGGGGAAGACATAATTGGTACGTTGGATTTTTCTGTTGCTACCGTCACATGCGTTCAGCTGGCTGTGTCGCTACAGTGCGAAGAGGAAACAAACATACAGCAGAACGATCAAACAGTTAAGCAGCTGCGAATAGGTACCTTTAACAATCAACATGAAGTTTGCTTGGGTCTGAAGTATACACAACTGGTCTTGCCTATACCATTGCATGTTACTCCTGGTTTTACAACACCTTTAAGTAAGTTAATGTTTAACACTTTGTCCCATATGGCGAATGTCTTTTTTAGTGAGTTTGCGATGGAGATTACACTTTGAATTTGTTACAAGTACAAATAAGAGTTTACAAAATCCAACACTTGATCAAAATGAATGGCAGGCCCCTGCAGATTTATCAGTAGAGACAATGGTTTGGAGTTTGCCAATTCAAATTTTTTCGACAACACCAGTTCACGTAATTCAGGGATTACAAACCAATAATGTTCATAGATTACTAATTCGTTGATACTAAATTACATTGTACATTTTAATAAAATGGATATGTGAAACTTTGTAAAGTATTATCTGTTCATAACACTTTTCATTAGTATATACAATGGTAGGACTCCCCTTATAAGAATACGTGGGGAAGCTAAACTTGGTTTTATATATGTATGAAATCCAAGTCTCTGATGAAACCATGGAAAAATTCAATGTACTTTAAATTTTTACCCCTTGCCCAAGTTTATTAATAAAAAATGTTCGCTTTTTATGTCAGATTATGAGATTACTTATAGTAAGTATCTAAAATTCTCTTTCTCATAATGTCTTGGATTTATTCAGTAAAAGATCTGATAAAACCCATTCAAGTGGTACTGCGTTATTCCATACCAAGATGTACACATATCCAGGGTGGCAACCCTAGATCCTAGACTCGTATTGTTTGAGATGAAGAATATAGGTCAAATGGGCAATGTTTAGTTGTATTCTGTGCTGATTAAAGTTGAGTTGAGAAATTTGAAAACCACATGTGTGATTAAAACCAGCTAAATTTTAATAGCAGTTTACATAATAACAATTAACAAATAAGACAATTAGTAATATATCAGAATTTTTACATTAGGAGGGGGTATGTTATTTTCTAAATACCTTTTTTTTGTGTTTTGCCTTTGGATGCTGTATTGCATATTCACATGCATTAAAGTAACATGCACACTCACAACATCTTTCATTTTTCTGAAAAGAGAAAGAATACATCAACAAACATTATTTACATGCAAGGTCTGCTCCGTAGGTTTTATTATGCGCATTTGACAGTATTTATTGATTAAGGTATAATTCAGGTAACGTATCGATTTTGATGGAATTTTAAAAATTGGCGCTGAGCAAAAGTTCCCAAATTTAATTTTAATAAATTTACTCAAATTTGGATATACATACATACGAATACCACATTATTTATTTACGACAAAGCAAGCACAAAATATAAGTTCATGCACCGAGTTAATAATCTACGGAGCAACTACAAGCACAGAATGCAGTACAAGTCAAGGAGTCGGCAAGAAAAATCAACATCGGCGCAACCAACTATGATCCATCGTATTACCATTGATTATACAATAATCAATGGTATTACTATTGTTATCTATTACCATAAAGTGAAATAATTATTACCTTACTACTATTTCTTGTATTCAAGTCATCATTTCGTGGTGCTAAATCTCTTTTTTTGTAATATTATTTGAAATCTTTTTACTTCGTTCTGAGGAAATATATTTTTTGTTCTTACCTAGTTAACTGGGTTTTTTTGTCTTGCAACTTCCTTGTTGCATCTTATAATTTGCGTGATACTTGCCTTTTTAGCGCACTTTTGGAAATGTATTTGTAAAAAGGTAGCTTTTAAGCTCACTTTGGCCAGCAAATGTGGGTCCATAGAAGAACGCTTGTAAAAAGACGAAGAGAGTACGTGCACCTACCGAGCCGTATAATTAACATATAGCAAAGAGAAAAGGAAACATGGTGATGGCTCTTCGGGTAGGTAGGTATGTAGGTACGTACGTTGTCTAGTATAACGACGTTGGAGGCCACCTGTGGCTGAAAAGCTTTACCGTAGGATCCTAGTGTCAACCAAAGCAGAATCTCCACGCGCTCACCTAGGGAAGGAACATTTTCTAAGGAGAGATAAATCAATTTGTTACCAGAAGAGAATATTTCCCACATCAACAACTAATGGTGGGTTTATACATATACAATCACTATCATTAGATCAGTAAGAAATAGCCAATAGAAACAAATGTATGGTTTCGTTGGTTAGCGACGCACAATAACCTTTTGTTTCTATTGGATAATGATTGTATAAACTCAGCAGAAGTTATTTTCAATTTTTTGATTTGTATAAAGTAGTGGTTGGTTATTTTATAAAATTAGCATAAGAAATGTCGTTCGAAGTAATTTTAATACCTATTCTAAGGAATGGACCCCTGAAGATTACTTGCATGAAACAGATTTTGTATGATATCGAATCCAAACAAAGGATTTGGGATATTTCATTTCATTGGATTAAAATTTTGTTTAGCATTCAGAGGTGTGTGCATATTTTGAACTGTGTTCCCTTTCTTAATCTCAACATTGTGTGAAGTTTTGAATGAATGCACCAAAGGGTAGAAGATTTAAATACCTTTGCCAACATTATCTATGCATTTAAGTCTTCGTAAGATGCTTCCTAATCATCTAAGACATCAAGTTTTCATATTTTTTATAATAGGGACTTTAATAGATTTTGCACCTACCAACTTTTCTTCGGCTTCTGCGACAAGCCATTGAATAAAGAGACGGTGTATTATCTTTTTCAACCGTAGTCATATTTTATTTACAAAGGCGAGTTCATGTATTAATCAATTGTTCAATTCAAGGTATTATTATTATTATTATGCAAGGTTGGTAGTAGTTCTAAGCCTGCTAAAACCATATACCTATTAACACTTATGAAAAAACATAATATTTAAGGTGGATAATATATTTTTATTTCATAAGGAAATAACAATTAGATGTAGCAAGTAAAACTATTCGACTACCGATACGTATATTTAGGAATCTGGTGCACAGGAAGAAAATACTCCTTTATTTCTCATTTCATTGAATTCCTTATCGATATCATAATTCCTGAAAAAAAATTGTTTACAATATTGTTAAAGCAATGGAGCACTATTTCGAATTTTTTTAATGCCCAGACTGCGAAGACAACTATTTACTATGTTCCGCTCAAGCTGATCCAGACAACAGGTAAATTTAAAAAGAACCAAGCTTGCGAATAAGACATGTCTGTAATGTACCAAATACCTACAAATCACATGCAAGAATTTGGTACTGGTAAATGCAACCCATGCGAAAATGACCAAAGCTAACCGTATCAAAATTAAACTTACTTATAAAATTCTAAATATTTTTTCTTTCTTGCATCTCCCACCAAGGTCTTGAAAGTTATACCTGCTACAATGCTCGTACCAATGGCTATAATCAAATTCCTTTTAATGGAACTCTGCAATAACCCGCGTAATTGAGGTTTCCCACTCATCTAAAACAAAAATTCAATTAGAATCTAAAAATATTGCTAACATAAGGTGGCGAAAAAATCGCCAAATCACCATCATCATACACATAGCCCCACTCTGGCCTATTTTTGCGGGTTGTGACGTCTGAGGTGTTGGCATAATTGCACACTAGTGATGGCTAGGCGAGAGTGTAGGTTCATAATAATATGCCAAATCCACTGGTAGGTGATATATGGCTATTAGATATAGCCAAACGTAAACAAGCGCATAAGCTACCTGCACAGCACGATGCAAACTCTAAACTGTACTTTCTTTCATTGAATAACAAGAGGGCAAAGAAGACATTTACGGAGCATTTTATTTCGTCTTTACAGTAAAAAACCTTTTAAAACAAAGTGAGTGAAACAATAGATTGGAATCCACTAGGGCTGTCAGTGATGGTAATGTTTCTATCCACTTAACAAAGAGGAATGAGGAAATTAAAAGGCAGCACCTAAAAAGAACACCTTAGAATAACACATGTAATCATTCGAAAATTCATATGTTGGTGCATATGCAATGGTTAGAGGTTTTACTTTCTCAATAAGTTGATTTTAAAAGTATTAGACTAGCTACATAATAACACAACTTTGAAGCAAATAAAGAGTTACCCTGTAAATCTCAAGTGAACACAATTCAAGGATTATGTAATATAGGAAAAGGTATACCTAATGGTATGGGAAACAAGTGCACTTATGCCATTGCAAATAGTAAATACATTAAGCTAATTAGAATTACTTAAAAATGTGTACATTTCTAAAATTGTCACTTACTTTATGGTAATTGCAATCAAAATTTTAGAATTAAAATACAAGATTTCTCTTGATAAGACGATGGTGACTGATTTTGATTTTTGACAGTTACACAAACCTCAAAATCATATATATATATATATGCTCAAAATAGATCAAGACCACAGACTACAAAAACGTATCACCACTCATTATACAGGGCAATGAAGCTGTAAACGTACATTCCAATGTGTGTTCTTGCGTCTATATAGTGCATGCCTCACGAAATTGATTATCAGTTTCAAACACTAGCAAATGATGTTCTAATACTGTGCGATCAAAAATGAGTTGCTGTCGAGTCACCTTTGGAACTTTTGTTTACATGGGAAATCGTATTTAACTTGAACTTCCAAAGGCGACTCGACAGCAACTCATTTCTGATCGCCCGTTACCATTTACAATATAACTTCTTTGTTAATTAATGCAAAATTATAACCAATTAAGTCCAAAAGTATTTGATTCACTTAAGCCATTTATTGAAATTAGTGTGCATATAGTCATCCAAAACGTCAAAGGTATGTTAAAATTGTAATGCCACAATGACACCATCCTTGTAACTTTAGATTAATAATAATTGATTTGTTTAGTAAATTGTCACCATCTCCTTGGAGACCTTGTATGAATCCAGAATTGGTAGTTCCTCTTCTTTAAAATATGTCAAATATATGATACATATTGTATACACTTTTTCCAGATTTTGTTAATGAATTTGGCAAAAGGTTGAAACTGAAACAAAACAGTATCGTTATAAAAATGACACACTCGAGGTAACCTATCCCTAACAACCAAAAAGTATGAACACATAACTAAGGGCAGAAATGCTGGGAGCTTGGCTACTTCGGAATAGCTTCTGCATGTGCGGTGTCCCGACTACAAATACATTTGAGCTCTCTAAAAATCATTCAGGAATAAGTTAACTTTTAAACAGTATCATATCTTCTGACACTTCAATCTCTAGATCTTGATCTTCGCATTAGAAGTTTTTACTGCGCATGCGAAAAGAAACCACAGAGAGTTAACTGCGATGGCCTTGGGCGTACGCATATATGTAGTTTGCATTTCAAAAATATTTAAGAGGCAGTGGCGCCACCAGATATATTTCAATTCGTGGGGCAACCTGGGACCAATATGTATGAGGTTGGGCCATAATTCGCTAACTTTATTATGTATTTAAATTTTCTTTCAGAACACTATGACGGCTATTTTCTGAATGTAAATATATGAAAATGTTTCGTTTGTCCTATTTTGAATTCCCTTGCCTTCTTTGTTACTACAAATAATCACGTAGGGAAAAATTGAACAATTGATTGATATCAAAAATATAATGGAAAAAAAGAACACAATGTATTATATTATTATACCGGGTGATCAAAAATAACTACATACAGTTTAAATTTGGCGCGTAGTTTTTGGTGTTTTTTACATATTGGAAAACATGTTTAGAAGGTTGTTTATTTATGCAGTAATCACCAACCATTGACGTACCGCACGACGTACCGTGAAGTATTGACCTTTGTATCACACATATACCTGGCAAGTTTCGTGAGAATCCGAAGCTTGGAATTCCTTCTTTGAAATGAGAACTTTCATTTATATCGCCTTCAAGCTTGAAGCCTCTTATAGGAGTAGAACCCGTTTTCGGCCCTTCCCAGATATTATCCGCAGGCTCGTAGTCAGAATGAAGTAGCAGGGGTGGTCGGTATTTTTCTAGGGGGGGCTTAAGAAGTTTTTGATAAAGATTTCCCTTGTAATTTTTGTAATTAATACGTAACTAATTCGGCGATTATTCATAATAATAAGGAAAATTTTTTCAACAACCCCGATTTTTTTTTATTCAATATTTTCTCAGTTTTATAAATGGCAGTAATTTCCTTCCCTTAAAGTTTTAAAAGGAAATGCACCCCAAATTTATCACATTGATCGGCACGGCGGTTATGAACAACTACAATAACTAAGGATGTTAAATAAACCGATCTTGCTAATAACTATAGATACAGTGGTCTTGGTCTATAGTTGTTGACGTGATATTTTAAAAGACCCTGTAGATAAGTTACGTAATGAAATTGATATAAAAAAGAAGCGCGCCAAATTCATAGGGATTTTTATTTAGATTTTAGTGTCCTTCTTGTCCATTTGCAAAAATGACATTTTTACAGCACGAGTTTTAAAGTCAAAATACATCGGGATCTTCCTCTTTTAAAAAACCTCTACATTTTAATTTTTTAAGAAATTGTAACGATTGGCACGTTTATTGCTTTAAGTTGCAATGACAAGGTGATACATAAACCCACTGCTTGATTTTTAACTAAATTTTGTATCTTACAGGGCACATATTGAATTGGGAAATGTAACCCCTCACAACATAAAACAACTAAAGAAATTAAACAGTGTTGTTTTTCCAGTATCCTACAATGATAAATTTTACAAAGACGTGTTGGAGGCTGGCGAACTTGCGAAATTAGCTTACTATAATGATATTGTTGTGGGTGCCGTTTGTTGTCGAATAGACACATCGGAAAAATCTAGGAGACTGTATATAATGACGTTAGGGTGTTTGTATCCGTATCGGAGGTTAGGAATAGGCACTATGATGGTTCAGCATGTTTTAAACTATGTCGAAAGGGATGGTGATTTTGACAGCATATTCTTGTAAGTATTTTTACGTATTTGTTAAAGCGAGCAAAAATTCCCATAAAGAATGCTTGTAGTGCCTTCCCAAAATAATCTGGAGCAAACCAGATCTTTGTAATCCCTAACAAATCAGCTGTAAATGTAAATTTGAGTAGTTATTTACACATTTCAGTACTGTTGGTAGTTCCCAAATCAATTACATGCTTAGAATTTTGTAAAGTAGGTACAATCCTACAAAAGTATAAAGCTCGAAGTAAAGGTAAGAGGAAATATATCTCTTTTCTCAAAATCATATATGAATGATAGACTTATAAGTAACCACCACATCTCTTTCTATGCCTCTGTTGCAAATATTTGCATATTTTTATATCTTGCATCTGTTCCAGTAGGTATTTATAACGCCATGTCAAACAAGAAAAACAAAAGTGAGGTTGTTTAATATTTAACTCTACATATTGTTGGAGAATTGTGTTTGTACATATTTGTAGCATACCCTGTATTATTCAAAAACAAAACTTATCTTGAGTGAGCGTATACTGTACAATGTACCGTTTCTACCGAATGCGAATTTGTATTGTTCTGTTTTTTTAGACATGTGCAAGTCAACAACGAAGGTGCTATCGACTTTTACAAACAATTTGGATTTGAAGTTGTTGAAACCAAAGAACATTATTATAAAAGAATTGAACCGGCAGATGCTCATGTATTACAGAAAACGCTAAGGAAAAAAGGTGAATCGAATGGAACTAAAATAAGTAACGATGACAGTGGAAAGGATGGTTTTAGGAAGCATTAAACACTCTTGAAATTCTTTGTTATGTTCAATTTAAAGAATGCCTTTTCATGTTTTTAATTGGAGATGAAAGCGACTATTGTATTTATTAATTAATCAAAACTGTAGGTAATATGGTTCTGCAAAATTTCTTGAATGTGGCAGAAATCCATGTTTTTATTATTACACCATTCATGTTTCCTAGTGTAAATAAATTATATTATTACATAGGCTATTATTTTCTACTTCAACTGGCAACAGTGCTACTTCATGCATAATAATATAATAATAATAATAATACGCTTTTATTCCCCTTAAGTTTGTATAAGTATAACAATAGAAATATATATTAAAAAAGCTAACCTCGGGGAAAGGGACTACATTCAGCACACAAAATGCTGTTCTCCCATGTAGCCCCCATACAAAGTATAACTTGACATTTTTGCAAATTGCAAATTTGGTACTGTTGCTAACTTTCCTATTATTGGAGCTATGAAGTTGGTTAATTAGCAGAATTCTCATGGCCAAATCAGAGAAGCAATTGAGCCGAGATAGATATTTAATGAAATAATTATTCTTAATGACTTTGTGATAAAAAATCTTTAATACATCACTACTTAGATTAGATTAGGTCTCCTTACTGTCCGGATTTGACATTGTGCACGCCAACCTCTGACTACTGGTCGTGTATTTCACCTTTTCTGCCACATTACTCTGGTTTATGATCAAGTGAAGTTACCTACTGATTTACATCCGGTGGTGCACAAATTGATTAGATATCTACTATACCTTGCTTGTTTTGCTAACTGAACTTGATTCCTGTATTTTTGGGCACTAATAAATGACGTGTACAGCCGCATTGGAACAGTTTGAGACGAAGGCCTCATGGTGCTGCATGTGGTACCCCGGTTTATGATACATTGTTATACAGTGCGTAAATTTTAGTCTGAACATACAAATCTCCTATGTTCAATTTTTAAATATACAAGTCAATGCATTGATATGCCTGACAGTTATGCAACCCACTACGCACACACAAATATGACCGCAGTGAAACTTGATAGCTTTTAGCGTATTTTTCTCGACGAGGGTCCTGGATGTGTGGCACTGCCAAATACTCATAAACCCGGTTACCAAACCAATGGATGATGGTTTTCATAACCGAAAAGAATGAATCTTTTTCTTTGGCAACCGTGTTCGAAATTGTAACGAACCGTGTTTGCCGCGAAAATTAAGCTTTAGATTTGTGATGTAGCCAAGTCGAAAGCTCCGGCGCTGACAAAGGCGGAATCTAGGAACACCAGCGTAGTTAATACAAACCTTACACTCAACAATGGCTTAGCCGGGTCTCCTGCAGTCCAGAAGGTATCTGAAGGTCCTGGATACGGTAACCTTAGACTAAAGTTCTATTTCAAGATGAATGCCGCTACGTGTTTTTACCAATTTGGCATTTACCTTTGCTCGGGTTAAACAGTTAATTACACTAAAAAAAGCAGATTCGTACACAAAAGAATTGAAGTTGTTAAACAGGGGTAAATATACAAGAGCTTGATTTTTAATCGGATAATTTTATTTTTACACGAAAGTTTTGTTGCAACGGAAAAAATTAGAGATCAAAAGTGTGATAAAATCGTGACAGCTTTAGCTGGAGCGATTTTATCATGTGCTTTTGATCGAGAGTTTTTTCCAGGAAGAAACAAAATTTGAGTGAATGAAAAATAAAATTATCCTGATTTAAAACCAAGATCGAATGTATTTTAGGGAGATTAATAAAAGACAGTAAATTTTACAACCACTATATTTTACGTATTCATACGCGCATTTTTATCGCTGATAAAAAGCTACCTAGCTTTTAATCAGATAAAAAATCATCTGATTGGTTAGAATTTGAAACCAAGCTGATTGGTGGAGTGTATTAGTCAATCTAAATGAGTTAAAAAAATCAAATGAAAATTAATAACGGGCCAATCTCAAACAAATCAAAATTAACATTTACATTGATACATGGTATAATTTGATACATGGTATAATAAAAAAATCATTGATAGCAATTAAAACAAAATTCAAGGGTTACCTTCCCTTAAGTTATAATGTAATTGAAGGCAATAGAATTTAAAATTTTGAATAAATAAGAGTTTCTGAAAAAAAGTGATACTTATTCTAGTCTTTTAATGACTTTTCAGAGCATTTGTCCATTTTCCAGAACTGCGGTTGATTGTTTTCGCAGCTTTCTAAGTTTACAGAAAGTTCTATATTCTTTGTAAACAGTTTTTAGTTCGTTTAGGTCATACCTACATATAGATGGATTTTTCGATGTTAATTTCTGGTTTGGTATTCGTAAAAAGATCACACTCTCCCATTTGTTAAAAACAAGCGACGGTAACGAGTTCCAGCCACTTAGCAAACATTTTTTGACATACCTACCTATAGATAGGTATGTTTTAAACTTGTATCACAATAATTGATTTGAACAATATTCAAATTTATCCACAGCATGGTTTTTTAATCTAGCTATCACTTTTTAGAGGGTCTATAATAGTATAGGTGCAGTCTAACTATCCACCGATTGTTCATTAAAGATTGTGCCATCTCTGTATCTAATGTTTCTTACAAGAACATTTGAATTTCAACACTCTGTAGAGTATTGAAAGCTGTAACTGTTTGATTTGTTAAGTTGGTAGTTGACGCAATGCATTATCGGAAATAAGTTTAAAATGGCTGCTACTTGGTACAGCAAATAAATTAATAAATTTAAAAATGTTTTCTTTAAAACCAATAAGCATAGTTTTAAATAAAAAAAATAAGTTGTTGTTATCTTATGAAATTCTAGTTTTGTGTTGTGTGGACGGATGTGTGATGTAATAGGCAACAACGAAGAAATAAACCCTCCTAGTTTAATAAAGCATCTTTGGAATGATAAGAACTTTATTATGTTTTCCGGCAAATTCACAACTTTCTCCAGAAAACTGATTTACTGAAGAGCAGCTGCACATTAACTTCATAAATTGTAAGTGAACGTGTAATTTTTGTGTGAACCTGCTGACTAATACACTCCCTGAAAATAAAGGACGTCATCTTAGTTTTATTCATATTGCCGTTAATGCAAAAGGCGAACTTTTCCAAGTTTACGTGCCGTGCACTTTTTCGCATGGGCGAAAATCTCTAAAATCGCGAAATTCCGTTTTTTAACTTTAATTGCAGAGAGCGGTATTCGCCTACTTTTAACAGCTGTCTTAAATTTAATTATAATCGTCTTATCTTACAACAAACAGTCACTCTATATGACCCCCAACATTAAAACATTTATAGGATCGAGTGCAAGTTCATCTTCTTTATTTTCATATTTTATTATCATGGGTTTATTTACAATTAATAGGCACAAATGTTATCCTTAAAGTGATAAGTAGGTTACATGCTTTTTAAGAATAGTAATGATTTGAAGGTGGAACAGCCGATTTTTGGCACAGTTTTTTTCGGGTTTCGCACTCGGTAATTTTGCAACTTCTTTTTAGATGTAAGTACTCAAATGTCCGAGTCACATCAAGCGACCCCAACATGTGGAAATTGAATAGCATTTCTCGGAATCTTAATGAACGTGAGTGAGGAAATTTGAATTGGTTAATCCATGTTGTGTACAAAATATTTATTTCGCAGTGTTTCTGTAATGTAGGTTTTGATGCAAGTTAAGTGGATGCTGTATGAAGCTGATGTGCAAGTGTAATGCCTCGTGTAAAGCTGAATGTTTTGATTGATTGAAGAGTAAGCATCTAGTAACTCATTTACGGCCGGTCTACAGCATAGTTAACTATGTTGTCAGGCTAACAATGTTAAGGCATGTGATTGGATGTTTTTTCAAAGAATGATGTTATTCTTTGCAAATATATCCAATCACATGCCTTAACAAGATTGTTAGCAATTGAAAATTATTCTAAATTTGTAGACAAGTAGGGAAATTTCAAGTAAAATTACATATGGAAAGTTTTTAAAAAGGAATGTGTGAATCTAATCACATCTGATAACTTGTTATTGTAGGTATTGCTTATGTGAGCTCGTCTATTTTGTGGGTAGCTGAAACACATTCAGAGAATCTTCCATTGGCAGAAATTGTCAGAAAGTCCTTAGATTGGAAACACTGTATTTTCATAATGCCAGGGTAAATAATATCACCTGTCGACAGTGGCCTGGTCTTTAGGACTAAATTTTGTAATTATTATTATTATTATCATGGGCATACGCTCGAGCCTTTGTCTTTGTGGAAAGGAGTCATGAAAGACTTTCTCACTTAAAACACTGACGCCGAATTGGCGTTTTTCAAATTATTTTTTATTATTATTATTATTATTATTATTATTATCCCTCTCTTTTTTGGGCCCTCAACAGGCATGCGCCCAATTACAGAGTGACCCGCATAATGCTATTTAGAGGTGCCTCTGCAGAAGGTCTTAAGATGGTCTATACTACTCCGGTATTTACCTTACGAATTAGGAAAACTGCAGGAAAACCTAATTCGGAGTAGCCGGTAAAATGCTCGGAACTGGCCTAAGGTAATTTCCATCTCCGCCACAGATGAAAAATTCACCTCAACCCAGGTTCGAACACCCGACCTTCGGATTTATAACCCAATGCTCTACCACTGAGCCATAAATTGCGGACTATTAGACCGCTTTTACACGGGGATACTGTCGTCTGGATACCGGTATCTCGGATACACTTGAAACTTTGCGTCTTACGGAGCCGTTCACACATGCATACTTTCCGCATACAGTGTAAATTTGGGTCGAGATTTGGGTCTCTTGTTAGTCCCAGTCATTTTACGATTTTGGGGGACCGATGGGCTATTGATTCATGCGAACTGTTTATACGAGGAGACTTGTTCATTAGTCCACCACTGCTTTGCCGAAAAAGTACTTCAGTGCGAAAGAGAAGTTTAGAATGCCCAGTCTGCAAAGTGTATTTGACGAAATTCTGACTATCTAAAGTAGTCTTAGGAGTATAAAAATGGAACAGAGTGATTAGTAGAATGGCCATTTGGCAACACTGCCTGAAGGCTTAGAAAGAGAGGTACATTTTTTGTTAAGGTGTTTTTGGTGACATTTATTTAACTTACATAAATACAAATAAATTTACATTAAAAAAAGTAAGAGCAATGGATTGGTTTAATCTTATTTTTAATGTGGAAGGCGAGGGGGAAGATTTGTATAGGACGCATTCTATACATGCTTTTTTTTCTCCTATTGAGGACTAGGCACGTTGCATTGCCCCCTCCTTAAAGTTATAAACTCACGATAATTTCGTCATTGTTGTAATAGTTTACCGATGGGACTGCATCAGTCTATTCTAAAAACAAGGTTAACTTTTAATGTATCTTGGACTTGTTGCGTTTTGATCCTTGATTACAAATTAAGGGTACCTCAAAAAAGAAACTGCACATGCGCAGATTAAGCACACAGAAAATGATTACGCATGCGCAGACATAAATCTCTCATTTCTGAAATTGTTCTGAAGATTCGGCGGAAGATGCTTCTTATAAAAACAACTTGAAATATCGGGTTAAAGAATCAATTGCGCACTTTATTTGTAGTCCACATTTTAACAGAATACCAGAAATTGAACGCATACGTCAGAAAATGGAGCGTGTATGGCCAGGCATAACTCTCTTATTTCTGGACTGCTTTATGTAAAATCTTAACAAAAGAGGTTTTTTGAAATACTTAGTAGCAAACTGAAATCACACGCAAAAAAAATGGATGGTGCTAGTCAACTTTTTTGAAATTGTATCTATAAGAGCAGTTGAGTGCGCATGCGTCTGTCCAACTTTCTTAGTTATGGGTGGTATTTTAATTAAAAACGAATTTGGCTGGCGTAAGTAATTTCTGCACAAAGAAGGTGTGGAAACGCACTTTTTGTAAATCGCTTACGATTATTTATATAACACGCATAACTTTTTGCGTTTTTACGAGAGAATGATCTCCACTAAATTAGGCGCACAGAAACATTCAAATTCTGGAAAATTTAGAAAAAGTAGAAATATTTAGAATATTTCCAAAAATAGACATTCAAAAAATTTCGGATAATTTAAAAAATACGAAGAAAATATGTAATTAGAATCTCAAACCAATTCATACAGAAAATTAAATAAAAACATTTATAAAGCTGTTCTTTAATTTGCAAACGTCATTTTTCTTGTTGAATCGTACACATTTCTTGGAAAATAGAAAAATTTGCATTCTCGCACTATGAGGTCGTTATGTGCGGGTGCACCATCTTGTTGAAACCAATACTTTCCAATTTTTGTTTTTTTGTGTATTCGTAATAAAAAATCGAGTAAAAAATGCTACTCAATTCATTTTTACCGGCCATATAAAAAATAAAGTTGACGATGATTTTTCCTAAACGAAACGTTGTATTGAAAATCTGTCGACGCTATGTTGTAGAGCTCAAAAAGTGGCAATGAGAAAGTGTTTTTTATTTTTTTCTATTCGTTTCATCGGAAAAACATTAAAACGAAATCGAGAAATTTCGGTTCTTCTAGCATATCTTCGGAAGTAATCGGAATTTTCTGGTTTTTTAACTGTTTAATTGCGCATCTTTTCTCTAATTTGACCATCGTCGTATCTACCTATGGTTTTGGAGATCCCCATGATAGACATCCTTATCTTAGACATAGTGTATTTGTAAGAGATCAAGGTAATAGAAATAGAGGATTATTCTTTGCACGAGCACAAAAAGGGAGTACGACATTACAACAAGAAGGTGCTGGGTTTCTAACAATTAAACTCAGTTACATTATGGAAGACATTTTTTTAGTGACTTTGGGGGAAATGAGGATCATTACTTCAATGAAACTAAATAAATAAAAGAATAACAATAAATAACTAAACTTCAGTAATTACCCTTCACTACATAATGCAGTTATTATTGTCATATGGTGCACATCATTCTCGAAAATTGTGCCAGCTCTTAGCTCTGAAACGTCTTTGCCTGTGATTTCAAAACTTGAACCGTATGGCGCATCATTGAATCACAAATGCCCGGTTTCTGAATTTTAGAACAGTTGAACAGTGGACATTCTCTTGGTATTCACCAGCGATGTAGTAATGATCGAGGTAATGATTATGTTGTTTAATGTTAATTATGAAACTGGTTATTTCTGGTAATACAAATTATTAATTTATTTAACTGAATAACCTTATCGTTAAATCTACATATTGTGATATGTTAATGATAGCAATTCCTTATACATAATTAAATGATAATGTTTATACCGCTTTGCTCGAGGCTTTGCTGTTTTTAATCTTAAATGTTGGGTAATTTACACTTATTTCAACTTTGATATTTTCTACTTCATACTATTGCTATTATTATTATTTGTATTTTAGTCCATAAAGCGATCTGGGGTTAAATAAATAAAGAAGTCTTGCACGAATTGAATGGTAAACGGTTGTAGACAAATGTAATTTAACATAGCAAAAAGCAACATGACAATTTAATTAATTTACTATCCCTCTCATAACAACAACATTCGAAAACATTAAGGGCCTTTTCCATCAACAGTCATCATCTTTTCTCATTTAAGTCGACCTTACTTTTTGGTGTAGCTCAAATACAGACTAATGAAATACAGGCCAATAGTATACTGGAGATTAATGAAGACTGGCAGTTACAGTTAATAAATACTTAATAAATGGAAAACGAAAATTATTTCTAAATGGAACTCATCCCATCAATTGGTAGAGATATCAAAAAATTATTAGTTTTTAGATTACGGAATTAACATTGAGGTCGATGATTATTAAACGTGGCACCACCTAATCAACCTCACTAACAAAAACGTTTAAGGGCAAATTTCCTAATTTCAGCTCCATTGTTTTTGTTTCAGAAGTGGATGCAAACGATGGACAAAATTTCCGTTAAAAATGGAACGACAGAATTACAAATAAAGCAATCCACCGATCCTCCTGAAATTTGTTTCGTTTGTGGCAACCGCGATCATCCCCACTCCTATTGGCTGCACATAAAACCGCCCCTAAATAAACCAAAGGAACCGTACTTTCCCTTTCTCGAGTCTCACGAGCCGCCCGCTGGTTATGTGTCTAAAAGTGATATAGCTGTGCGCGTGTGTTATCTTTGTTATAAGTTATTAGTGGAACAGTGGGATGCTTACGAGCGGGCGTCGCGACCCCATTCCGAACGACTTTATTGGCTTAAGCGGGTCGACAATGGCCCGTATACGGGAGCTGATATGGGTCTGCAGGGAGAATACGCTGCGCAGGTATTGGGTATTAATAATGAATCAACTGTTCCAATTAGGCCTCCGAATGGAAGAGCAGATGGCGTGGTTAAAACAACAGCTGTTCATCAACGAAGCTCGCCTAGGCTTACACAGGTGAATCATTCGTTTATATTCAAATCGGACAAGTCGATTAATTTTAGTACAGAAAGCCCTCGCTAGTTGACGTCGACCAAGTAACCTTACAATTCGTTTTTCTTTCATATGTGTAGGTAATTCAGTGAAACCAGTGGTTCCTAATCTGCAAAAGCTCACAAACCACTTAGCTGGCAACAGAATGTGTTGACTTTCTATGTTCAACAACGTAGAGACTGAAGGGAGAACATCAAAAAAATTATGTATTGAAAATTGTGGGCTAAATAGTGTGTTGCATACCATTGAATGAATGAAATAGTTTTCTCTAAATTCACCAAAAGTATTAAGATCATTGAATGAATCTACGTCTTTCTATATAATTTTGTGTTTTCTTTTTTAAAGCAGCGAATATACAGGGTGTCAATTTTAAAACTTGCAGTCGGCCAGGTTTTCCAACCTAAAGAAGATATTGAAAATCGCGCAAAACCGTTTCAGGGGTATCGAGGGGGAATCAGAATGACGTTATGAGTGACAACCCCCCTGCCCCCCCTCTTCAAAAATCCTAAATGACAATCTCATACTGGTGATACATGGTTGGAAAGCTACTGAAAAATGCTTTCCAGTGGTACCAATAAAGTCCATATTCATTAAGACAATTTAACAAAAATTTAATAATTAACAAAAGAAAACTAATGTTGACATTGAGGGATTTATGGCAAATTGGCCAAGAACTTCAACCTGAGCTGCTTCATTAAACATTTCTTTTTTTTATTGATAACAGATGGCTTACATTTCTCCCGGGATGTCTCTCATTAAACGTTTTAGCTGTTCTAAAAGATGATCGAATTTCGGAGCCATAAGTGAATATTATTTCCATACGTTCAGCTGTACTGTAAGTCAATAAGAAAAGAAAGCAACCAAGATTGCTTAATGAAACAGCTCAGATTGAAGTTCTTGGCCAATTTGCCATAAATCTCTCAATGTCAACATTTAGTTTGTTTTTTTGTTAATTATTAAATTTCTGTTAAGACGAATATTGACTTTATTGGTACCACTGGAAAGCATTTTTCAGTAGCTTTCCAACGATGTGTCACAAATATGGGGTTGCCATTTAGGATTTTTGAAGAGGGGGGTGGGGGGGTTGTCACTCATAGCGTCATTCTTATTCCCCGTCAATACCCCCGAAACGGTTTTGCGCGATTTTCAACATCTTCTTTAGTTTGGAAAATATGTCCGACTGCAAGTTTTAAAATTGACACCCTGTATAAAAGTAAACTGGTAATCGTAAGTAAATATGCATAGGCACCTTAATCATCCAGTCACAATTTTTGAATATCTGTAAACGTCGAAATTATTCGAAGTTGGACCCGAGTTTGAGTAGCACATTACTTTCAAGGTTATGATTTATGCGCAACGGAATTGAGGCAGATAGGTGAGATCTTATAGACCAACCATTTTATTTTTGAAAATATTGCAAACACATTAATATGAGTTAAGGTACAGTCAATGGCTTCTAACAACATACTTGCGCGGTTCTGTAAAAAGGTGTTGCTTGTTGTTTGACTGTACCATGTGCTCTATTTTGCTTGTGACTGCAGTGTAACTCAGTTGTTTTAAAGATAAGAGACTTGCGGTTTTGGCAACCCTGTGCCACTTTTTTGTGAAACTTTTACAAACAGAATTAATCTAACTACGTTTGTTTCTAAGATACAGGGTGAAAACGAAAAGTTTGATTTGTGATGTTATCATATCTGACTACCCATGCGATAGAAGTAGAACACGTATACATCGAGGTATAAGTTGTGCACAAATCTGGTGCAGATATACCGCATTTTTTAAAAACCGAAATAGCTTAGTAAATAGTTGTGTTATAAACTCGGTTATAAGGTTATATTTATCGATGTTTACCTTCTTGTTAGATGATTAATGGAGAGGGGGGGTCTTTACACATAAACATTTAAATGCTGCCTGGCATACATTCAATAATAATAATAATGTAAGATGATGCCTTTAGAGAAATTCTCTTAAATATTGTTTTGTCCTTTGTAGGTAAGTACTTTCCGCCAACATTTTCGAGTTATTCACACATTCACGGGTACCCTCTTCCGACACTTCGTTTTCAAGACATTCGCTTTGGCGTCCTAATCGCCCTTTGTGAGTACCCTGCTCCGACAATTCGCTCTTGAGATATAAGGAATTATAACCGATCACATCATAAGGGGTCAAGGAGGAGGACTGTTACTGGTAGAAATTAGTTCCTTTGATTGTGACCTTTCATTAGAGTACCGTGAAAGATGAAAACAGTCCACTACACCCTGTTTTTTGATAAGGGAGAGAACAGTTCCTATTGTTGAGACCTTTAATTAGAATACCATGAAACAAAAAATCTATTTCTACTTTCTCCCCTCGCCACCCACGCATGTTCAAAAGGAGTCTGTGTAGTCTGTACAAAGAGACCTTTCATTAGAATCCCATGAACATGAAGGGTAGAACCTCGAGTTGAACTGTGCCCCCCCCCCCATTCTTTGTCGCATGTAAAAGCTATGCACGTTTTATTCTCAGAAACCATATCTCGAGAAATAATGAAAACAAGACAACAAAATTTGAAGGCCGTAAGCCACACGTTCAAGGTATAGGCTGCCTATTACAAACAATTCTAGGCCTCTAGGATAGTTCCCAAAATAGTTCAAAACCGCAGAACTGGGTCTGACAGATGTTTCTATACTGCATTCATTAAGAAGGTAGTAGATGGCGCTGTGTTTGAAGATAAGCACACACAGGAAAAATATAAAACGGCACCAAATTATTGTAATGTAGAAATATCCAGCACTGCAAACAGAAATAAATCTTTGAGATTAACAGTTAATGACACTTCCAACAGTTTGGATAGCAACAGAAACTACCAGATTGCAAAATTCGCCACTGTTTCAGCGTAATACTGACTCGTGTTTTAACCAATCACACTGAAGGTCGAAGCTTCCCTATGCTTTCTACCGCTACCTTCTTAAAATGAATACAGTAAGTATAGTCTTAGTTAGTATGGATACAATAAACAAAACACGACGTTAAGATATACAGGATGTTGCATTTAAAAAAATACCAACTTTGGTCCATCTCCGAAACCGTGTTCAACATTTTTTGTGGCTACGCCACTGGATTCTACGTAAAAATATTTAAAATAGGCAGTTTTGATTTTTTTTCTACCTTACATGGGTAGCATCGAGGGTAGCATGATAAGATCCTAATAAGTCAAACTTTCACCCTATATTTCAGAAACGTACCTAGTTTCATTGTATTTTTTTTCGAAATTGGTTTTTTGCCTAAAACCATTGAATAAAAACACTATAAGAAGCCTAACGCTTATGGAAGAAAGCGCGACAAATCCCCTTGCACCCGCATTGGTTGTTATCACCGAACTCTCTTTGCGGTAAATAGGAGGAAAGCAAATTCTCATTCTTCTCAGTTCAAGAATCGACACTATTGACAGTGTTTCCATTATATTCTCAGTTCAATCTCTGTCGCGCTTTATTTCCACGGGGTTAGGCTTCTTATAGTGTTTTTATTCAATGCTAAAACTTGAATCAGAGGTCCAATCGACAAAATAGAAGGCGTTTTGGAATCTACGAAGCTAAATCTTAATTGGAAAATGTGTTTTGCCGAACATTTTTGGGGTAGTCGATTTTTGGCGAAAAGCAAGTATTATTCGAGGTATTCTTATATTTTTATTATAATATTTCCATTGTTATTTATTTTGCTAGAAGCTAATATCGCGATATGGGGAATTGTGACAGATTGCTAAACATTCAAAAATGGATCAACATCTTTTTTAGTTTTTTAAATTTTGAGGTACTCTTGATGCTAGAACATTCAACTCGCCTCCGTTTCTAAAACCCATCCGAGAACCCATCTATTGTAACGGGCAGCCGTTTAAATGTTTCGAATTTTATTTATAATGAACAATGAATAAAGAATACCAGGAAGGAGAATATCAACAATATACGTGCGACCGCGATGGCTTTTGCAAATGGCGGACAGTAGTTTCCTGTTCCAGTGGCGTACTTACCTTACAGTTGTAGAAGGATACAATTATAAAGAATTTTACACGAAAACAATCTAAACCCCCATGTGTGTACTCCGCCTATGAATTTTGTTTAACTAACCTCAAACTACATTCCGATAAAAAATTTGTAAATTTACATGTACCTACTATGTAAAAATAATATTGGTGTCAATACTTACACATGAAATGTAATTCCCAAAGTTTTATTTTTTTCTGTTTTGGAGCAACCACAAGCACAACAACTAACCATTTTTTTTATGTCACTGCAACAGCCACAACAAAAATGACTCATAAGTGGCTTTTGCAAATGGCCGACTTCCGTCGCACTCTCTCTCGTATACAACTTGATTAATGCTCCTTCCTGGTATTCTTTATTCATTGATAATGAATAAAATTGCATATGTACCGCTTTATATGAACAGTAAGCGCGAGTAGGATATTAGTGACAAACATGCGCGGGTACGTTACGCTAATAAGCCCCCCAGGTATGATCATGAAATTGATAGAAATGGATAGAGGACACCTTAATAACACGTTTAGATTAAAAAAATTTACGGAAGAGGGCCTAAATTTTCCACAATCTTAATTAAAAGTTCACCTCATTTTCTGGAAATCTGGTGTTATTTTACGTAAATTTTGTAATTCTTAAGTTGGTGAAACTGAAAAATTTTATGTGACAGCTCTTTTTCCCCTAATAAACAAAGGTGACAGGAAATTTTTGTAGGAGGTTATGTTAACTTCGTCTACTAAAATGAAATATGTTGGGTTTAACGTGTATATTAAGAGAATGTAATAAAAGTAGTACAACAGGTATAATATACAATACAATTTTAGGTTTTGTTCGACTTAAACACCAAATAAGCGACACATCCATGTGACTAACATTTTAATAACACCACTTTTTGAAGCTTATACAGTCTAAACTTGAATGCATTAGGGAAGAAGGATGTCGTAGAGAAGGTTGCATGTGGCAAAAATTTCTTGGTATCGATCACCGAGAGGGGAAACCCGGACACTTCCTGCATGTTTCATATGAATCGACGCTTAGCATCCACCGCCTAATACGGTCGAGAGGGGAAGGAACATCACTCGCATTTTCCATGGATCGCTGCTTAGCAATGTAGGATGTAGAGAACTACTTACTGCTATTATGGTATAATTAAAAACATTGTATATCATTGTTTAAAGTTAATTAAATCGTGGAAAAATAACATAACCTCTTAAGAAACTAACTAAAGTTGGCACTCAGGAATGTTAAGAACACCAGTACCAACTGAAAAACAATCATGAAATTTGGAGTAATGTAACTTCACTTACGACGAAATGAAGTGAACTTTGAATGAAGATTGTGGAAAATGTAAGGCTTCTTCCGCAAATTTTTTAACTGATAACATGTAATTAAGGTGTCCTCTATCCATTTCTATCAATTTCATGATCATACCTGGGGGGCTTATTAGCGCAACGTTTAGAATGCGAGGACTTCACGCTAATCCAAGCCAGTTGCGAGAATTGCGTCGGTTTTGTAACAATGCGGTAGCCAGGCAACAGATTAGATAAGAAGTTCGTGGTTGGTTAAAAGACACTACGGAGATTATCGAAGACCTGCGGCCGGAGACGAACCATCGTGTTGCGTTGGGGTTGTCTCGGTTTGCTACTCTGCAACATAAAAGGCGAAGTTATAATAAATAGAGAGACGGGCTGTAACTGTGATGCGAGTGTAGGTTATCCGAGCCAAAATTGCGATCGCGAAATGAAGCGAATTTCGTGAAATTAGAGTACGCTTTATTATTATTTCTTCTTTAAAAGAATACAAGTTAGTTGAAACACAGCGGCGAATTAAATGCGAGATTAAATGTAAAAAACGTTCTAAGCGCAGGTCCCAACTTCCACGAAGCTAGAGGCCTTTGTTGCACTAATAAGACTAGAGTTTCAAGCGGTCCCTAAATAAAATTCCGACGGACGACAAAGATGCAAAAGAAAACTTAGTTCATTGCAAGTAGCGCATTTCCTAATTCGTAACCATTTATTAGTAATAAATTTATTAAGTTGTGCCACAAATACAAACTAAATGACAGCTAAAAGAAGAAACAATCCAAGTGAGCGGCTCTTATGACGAAACGGGAAATAAACTGCAAGTCAGTTACATGCCAAAATGTGGTGCCTGTTATGTACCTATATAAGATATTACAAATTTCAAATAATCTTCAAAATTAAAGATGTACAGTGGTCTTGTTACACCCGGTATATACAAGGTGTCAAATAGAAAATTTGTATCCCTCTAAACACCCCAAAATAAATTTCGCTATATCTTAGTCCGCTACATTTGGAAACTTAGTTTCAACAGAACGGCGCACCCGCACAAAACGCTCTAGTCGTGCGAGAATACCTATCCTGAAAAATGGAAAACTTTTCCGATAGGTAGGTATTCTCGCACAATTAAGGCGTTGTGTGCGGGTGCACCATCCTGTTGAAATCAACAGTTTCCAACTTTTGTTTTTTTGTGTGCCGACATCGTATTCATAATAGAAGTTTTACTCAATACAGTATGTACTTTTTTCACGGGCCATATAAAAAATAAAGTTGTTGATTATTTCTCCAAAAGGAACCGTATTGAAATTCTCTCAATTAATTAATTTTTGTAAGGTTATTTTGGTCGTACTTACCATTTTATGGCAAAGTATAGTAGGCTGTGTTCTAGTTATATTGCTGTCTTATATACCTTTAATTGCTTACAGTTAACCAGCTTGGATAAGGAAGATCGAGATGTCGTCGTGGATGCCGCCTTAGACCTTCGAAATACCAGTTCAAGCTCGCGTAGTTCTCCCATCTCAACGTCTGTACCTATATTTCACTGCCAAAATTCGAATTCATCGACTGGAACGGATATATTAGATCTTAGTATGCCAGACAAAAATTCGGCCACCGAAGTGTGTTACGTTTGCGGCGACGAATTTAAACGTGGTAGCCTCAATTACATTGCCGCGAAGCAGTTACCAGATACGCCTCCGAATTATCAATTTTTTCCTAGCCTCATGTTGCATCCCAGACCTAGCCGTTCGCGACCAATGGATTCGGCGGGTCGAGTTCAGGCTTGCGTCGAATGTCAGCATCACCTTTTTAAACAGTGGGATATGTTTCAAATGCAAGCCGTGCCTCATTTCGAACGGAATTATACTCTACGTAAACGTCAGGCAGCTGCAGTCGATACTACCACATTCATTTGCTACACCTGCGCATTAGAGTACCCTTCGAGTAGTTTACGCTTATTATATTGTTGTCCAAATCCAGAAAAGGAACCCTACTTTCCCTTTATACAAACCTTAAAACCGCCACCCGGAACTAGTCCTATTAGCCCTCAAGGTATGGTCCAAGTCTGCTCGATTTGTTACAAGTCCATTCCCCAAAAACATAAAGCGTTTGGTGGCGATTCTTCTGTTATTGTAAACAATCACGTCTCGTTGGCCGACGTACAAAACCATCGGAATAGTAACAGCAATTCACAACCGTCACAAGTCAAGTCACCTTCGAACAGCACCGGTTCCGACATCCGCTTCAAACCGTACGAAATTGGAAAACCCGGTATTATAACGACCAAGAAAAAGCAAGCGGCTAACGAGTTACGTGAGATGGCGAAAATAAACTCAATAGCCACCAGAATATCGTCACCTGGACCCGAAGTGAACGGTCAAGTGAACAATCAAAATTATCGTTGTTACATTTGCGGCGGTTTATTTTCACGAGTTCAAATGGAGTGGTTAAGTACAAGCGCAGAGGGAATGAATTCTCACGCCATGCATTTTCCATGTCTACGAAACGTGTCCCGTACATCGGAAAATAGCTGCATGGACTCTCATGGGCGAGTGTTGAGCTGTAACAGTTGCGTGAACCATTTGGCGAGGCAGTGGGATACTTTGGAAGCTGAACGAGTGCCATTGGAAAGGAGAAAGTGAGTATTGTTTACTATTATTACAAAAGAATCTTGATAGAAACCCTCATTTATGTGAAAAATAGCAAGTTACATTTGATTCTTATCTTGTTCATGTCGTTAAAGGATATTTTTATGGGTTGTTGAAATTTTTTACAGAAAATGAGATTTTTATTTTCCTATTTTATTTTTTACATATCTACTTCTAACGTTAATATATTATGAAAATTAGAACGCTTTCATCTGAAATTATTTCACATATATTGAGGTTAAACATTTTTTGTATGACACATGGTTTTTGAGTGCGACCGCCATCTTGAATTTTTTTTAAATGGCAACATAGGTTATGTGATACGTCATTAGAAAGCTTTTTTTTCTCTTTCTACTACTACCTTAATCATGAATGGTCTTACATTAGAAAATAATGGAGAAAAAATTCTGTCAAATAGTCCATATTTCACAAAATTAAGATTTATTTCTCACTTAATACAACAAACCAAATGCATTGTGTTTTTGTCACCTGCTCTTTCCTTTCTAATGACCTACGACATGACTATGACTCTTGGCCATTAAAAAAATTCAAGATGGCGCTCACACTCAAAAATCATGTGGCAAAAATTTTTTTTTAACCTCAAAATATGTGAAATAATTTCAAATGGAAGCGTTCTAATTTTAATGTTCGGTTTAAGTGTGAGAGCTTTGGTGACTTTTAATGGCGTCCGGTACAAACATAAGAACAGTATATTGTATATTATTGCGCTAACGATCGTGGTTTCACTTAAAATAAAATAAAATTGATATGGCAATCCAGTAAATTGTTCAAAAATGTCAAGTAAAACCGACTGAAGGTGAATGATGCATTTTTATTGAAAAAACATAGTGTGTAACCTCTTATAATCAGTTTAAAGTGATAATTTTGTTCTTGTGTTTTATTCCTTCTATAGTGATGGATATAACCATGGTCAAAATCCAGCCCACTCAAACATATACCTAGGTACAGAAATAAATAAATTAACCATTTTGTACCTTCAAATGATATACTATTGTGCACGAAACAAACACAACTTCAATTCATTTTTTTAGAAGAACTTTGGGACATTGTTGGTTTGAATTATTGTTCATTTGAAACATCACACATTATATTTTGAAACTGGTTTCTTTAAAGGAGGAGTGGTGTTGACAATATACATATTAATCATATATTAATTTGAGTCAATAACCCGTCAAATGAATAATACGTGTATGTCACACCAGTGCTATGTAATAATTTATTCATTCAACACATTTTTTGGAGGGGATGATGTCTACTGAGCAATAATCCAATTTACGATGTGTCAAAGTTTATATCGCTGGTGCAACATCAGTGGCGGTGATTCCCGCGGCAGTTGGTGTAAATCTTCATTAGAATCCCACGAAAGATAGAACCTGTGTTTACTCCCCCTTTCATCCTCAATTTAAAAAATTCGCTTTGCATCACTGAAGGCATGTGTATGCAAGATTGGACACAAATTGGTCATTGCAAATAAAGATAGTATGATATGGGGCCACCTTGACCTTGAGATCATGCGCCAAGTTTAAGGTCATTTGATTCAGAGCTGTTTTTCGGCGGAAACAGGTCCGTTTATCGGAAGTAGGTTTGCTTATTAAAATCAGATCTCTATTGAATCAGCTTGATGCAGTAGAAATAGGTACGTTTAAAAGAATCCAATTCGTTTAATCGACCTGTTTCTGTCGACAAACAGAACTGAATCGAATGAACTTGAACTTGGCGCACGATCTCTAATCTACTGGCGATATATATCAAAAAGTTACCACGGTCCCACATATGTCCTCGGGCCAACTGCTGAAGCACCCCAGGCCAACTGCCGAAATTCCCATGGTTCTCAAAATGTTCCCACGCACAAGCGACCCAATACCTACTATAAGTTATGCCCCTTTTGTATTCAGAAACAGAAATAATGCATACTCCCTGAAGGCTGCCTGGCACATCTTCAAGGTATAAGGTACCTATTGCAAAAAATTTAAAAAAAGGCAGAAGTGGTTGCGGACCACCAAAAAGCAAACAGTAGCGATTTTTTTTAATGTGTGAAAATGCGCTAAAAAAGTGGATGTAGTAAAGTTGTTAGGTCTGCACTTTCGGATTTCCAAAATGTTTATCCCTAGCTAGCTGTTACCTAAACGGTGGAACCAAAGAAATTGTAATCTCAAAAAAATTTTTTTGTGGATCTGTGAACATGAAACCAACATTGAAAAGTAACGAAAAAGACGTTTCAAAGCTCAACGTTTCCGCACGGTAGCATGTGTTGAGTTTCCTTTTATTGTATTGACTTCTCATGTATCGCTTCGCCTTTTATTGACTGAAGTACATAATCCAGCAAGCAATATTTGACATGGATGTTCCATTTGCTTTTCTAAGAAGTAAATACCATTAAAATTTCACAAGAATTAGTCCACAAATAACAAATGTACATTTGCGCATGCGCGCGCAGATTTTGAAATGTATATCAATGTATGAAATTAAAATGATCAAAGAAAGGTTTTTTTTGGTACTGTTAAAATTATACAATAGAGCACTTAAACATCCCTCTCAGCGCTGGGTATTTGTAACAATGAAGCACTGAATGCGCGCATGGCGTTTTTTACAAGTTTAATATAATTGATCGATTTGCCTTTATTAAAAGGTGCTACTATTATTAAAATTTCAGTAAGATCGGTTCATAAATAACAAATTTATATGGAATTTCAGAACAAAAAAAGTATTTCACTTATAAGAATGAAACAAGTACTGTAGGAAAGAGCAGCTCAAATAGATTTTTCCCACATATTTAGTTAACAATTCGCCCGTTAGGCGTAGATATAGACAGTAGAAAAAATGGCTGCCATAGGAAACTGGAAGTTATTTTGTGTATTAGAATTTCACTTGTCAAAGATACTTGTCCTGCCCATGATCATAACGAGGTTCGACCGTACCTTATCACAACATTGCCTCAGCGCTGGATGCTAGAGTGTGTTTGACAAGAGCTAGACTTTCGGATTGATATGTATCATGTCACCAAAGGAGCAAATATTGAACATTTATAGATCTTAAATTGAGTCCCTGAATCAGCCCGTACATATTTCATTTAGGTAACTGACACAGTTTTTCCCCTAATTTTCGCAAGAACATTATGAACCCCCCTGTATAATCGATCGATTTGCCTTTAGTAGAAGGTGCCGCTGTTCAAATTTCAGCAAGATCTGCTCAAAAATAGCAATTTACCTTTGCGCATTGGTGTGCGCACGCGCGCTCACGAGTACAATCGATCGATTTGTCTGAATTAAAAGGTGCTCCTGTTAAAATTTCAGTAGGATTAGATCACATATAAGAAAGTTACTTCTGCGCACGCATCTTTTTTAATTTAACGGATCAATTTGCATTTAATAAGGGTTTCAGCAAGATCGGTTCATAAAGAAGAAAGTTGCTACTGCGCATGCGCAGAAGCTACCGATTTGAAAATTAATACGTGTCGTCTCCAAGCGGTGAAAAATACGCCTCAAAAAATGTACTTACCCCTAAATACGGTCTTTTAACTGTTCACTTATTTTACGAACCTTGTGCAATGTTTTATGTCTTGCAAATTCAAAGCAAACACTGTAACAAATCGGTAAACTAGTAATGCAATACAATTATCCTATATCCTATGCTAATTACAGTAACTACAAAGGCAAATAAAGGATACGTTTACATTTGTGGATCAAACACGTATCACCAAAAGCTATCTATATTCTTCTTTTTTCACTTGAGGAAAAGCAAAGCTTGCGCACCCACTCACGTGCCCTCGTCCTTGTGTAATTTGAATTGCTACACTTCCCGCGAAAACATTTCCAGTGGCGTAGCATGCGTTTTTCTCTTGTAATGAAATGCATAGAAGCGCGAACGATAAAGTTCAAAAATTTCCAGGTATGTTACATACACAATATTGTAAAAAATTGGCAGCCAGTGAGACAGCTCGAACCCTGACCCATGAATTAAGTATAATCCCACGGTTACTATTTTGTTCACAAGTGTATTAATCTTAATTCCAGTTCCCCAGAACCCAAATTTGGTCAAAATCTTAAAATGCATAGGTACAGAGATTTTGGAAACACTTGAATTTTCGATTTAGACTCTTCACCGGATCATTTCAAAATATTATTGAAATTCTTTACTGCTGCGATACTGCGGGCACACTTTTAAAGTACACCGCACCTTTGGTCTAGGAAACGAAATTGATTTCAATAAGTAATGATCTTTTATTGATTTGAGATTAATGGCATCACCTGCTCTTAAAAATTAGGTGCGGCAGTTGGTGTGGGTGGTGGGGACTGCTGTTAAGTTCCCTCAATTTCATACAACCTTGAAAGGGTCAATTTCAACAATCAACAATTACTTGTGTATGCATAATGTTAGAAAGAAAATTCCCAAGAATATTTGTGACACTTTTAACGATGCTATCTATATTCCACATGATTAACAGTTTTTTTAATACAATGTTATGAAGTAAATGTGTATCAACAACGAGATTAAACCATTTTTAATTTAACTTTCAATACAGCACGATAATGTAATGATGTCTCTTACATTATTAGAAAGAAAATTGCAATATCAAATTTATTGCACTAGAATAAAGAGGTTAGACCAACGTAAAAAGCGTTCTAAGGACTTATGTCTGTACAAGCAAAAAATTCTGTTTTTCGGGTAATTATTTTAGCCAATTGTCGACTGATAAGAATCATTCTTTTCGGTTTCAGATACGATGTGCCAGGCCCAGAGACAAATGCAGTTATTGACAAGAACATCAGCCCCTCTGGAAGTGTTGTTAGTGATCGTAGTTTAATAACCAATTCTTCTGGTAGCAGTATTTACTGTTTTCTTTGTGGATTACATTCAGAACTGACTTTAGCTCGTGTTTTATATAGTAGACCACAAGGTAAGACGAGACGTTTTACACTCACATTTTAGAAGGTAAGAAGTGGTATTTCTTCATAAGCAGAAGAAGATGATAACTTAATTATTCTAAAGTTCAATAGTTCATGTGACATTGATAACTCGGTACTACGCTTTTATTTTATTTATTTTGCGTTTCTCTATTTCTATTTTACAAGTCTCCATATTTTCATCGCCAGAAATGACTACGTGTTTTAGTATTATACAGGGTGTCCCAACTCAAATTTGCACTATATCACCTTAGATGGGGGTTGGCTTTTTAATACAGTAAAGTCCCGATTATCCGAGGTAAATGGGGCTGGTGATACCTCAGATTTAGAAAAACTCAGATTACACGGAAAGTGCGATTCATACACAGTAGCAGACAATCTATTTTTAGAACTAGGCCTGTGAGAGTGATAGTGTCATTGACCTTCATTATGTCACCAGCTGGCGCGAGCCGGCTGTATATCATTTGGAAGCTTATTTCATTTTCTAGTTAGATTTTAATTTAAATCGCAATAAGTTTTTTAAAAAGTGTATGTACATATTATGGAGATGGGAGTGTACATTTAACCCAACCTCTTTGAATACAAAGTGTAACCATTGTTCTATTAATTTTTCGGATGTTAACTGGTTAAGAAGTGCAAATTTTGATTGGAATACCCCGTATACAATATTTATTAATTGCTTCAGGAAGAAATGCACCGTACTTCCCGGCACTGTTAAGTCACGCTAGTCCCTCAAATGCGGAACAACTTCGAGAAGATGGCTCGGCATTGGTTTGCACCTTCTGCTACCATAGCCTCGTCAGTCAGTGGAGAAGGTACGAGAGCCAAGGTGGCAGCGCACCCCTTGCAGACCGCCGGGAATACAATACGCGCGATTACTGTTGTTACGTGTGCGGTATCATCACTTACAGAAAGAGGGTGCGGGCATTGCAAATCAAGGTTTGTAGGGCTACTTGTTCTTATACGAGGTATAAAATGTCTTTAATTTAGGATTTTCCATTTTTACGCTTTCACCCACAGCCTGAAAACTCGTTGCTATTAGAGAATGGAGATTATGCGGTCGTTTGTTTAGATTGCTACGAAACATTAAGAACGCAAAGTTTGGAGTACGAGAGATGGGGATTACCTCTTGACAAGAGGCAGTACAATTGGCTCACTCAACCGCCGCCTCCAGAAGACAGCCCCGAAGCCATGGTAGCACGGTTACCTAGTGGTCAACGTAGTGATAAAGTGGTATGTAAGAATGCTCGTCTTTGCAATCAAGGTTATTTGACTTTGTAGGTACCTCAAACTTTTGTGGCACGGCCTTCGAGGAAAAATTGTTCTCCAAAAACTGAAAAGAAAATTCCCTCAAAGTCTGAACAAGGTAAGTTTCGATTCTATACCTATAATACCTACAAATTTTTCTTCCAAGTAATGAAAGGTGGTGGGTCAGATATGTCTTTCTTTGGTAGGTAGATAGAAGCTGGCCTTCAAATTAAAAAGTCTATAAGTGAAATGTTTCAATTTTGATAGATTTGTTTGGTTTATGCTAAAAAATGGTAAAAAAAATCCTGTTACTTTCCTTTCAATATCTGTCTGGAATAAAATGCAAGATATAAATGTTATACACATTTGACCTTTGATCAAAACATATACCAATCACATACTGTAAATAAATTAAACAAATATAGTAAACGAGCTCTTGGGTATGGCTATAGCATGTGCAAAACCAAATTTTAAACTTGATGTTAGTTTTGTTTTTTATTTAAAGTGTATATGTAAGAAATTACAGTTAATTGCTTCCATAAATAAGAAAGTTGGCACTGCACATCCCACATATATATGCAAATTTGGAAAATGGAAAATTTGCTTTTATTCCAAATGGCTATGTATCAAGTTTCATTTAAATACCTTCATCTCGACCTGCATAAATAAGAAAGTTTGCAATTTGGTCTGTAAATGGTCGAGATGCGCAAAGGGTACTGTGAATGCTGATCGATTAGGCTCAACTTTTGGAATTGTGTTTTATATGGCTAAAGCTATACGCATATTCAATTTCATGCAATTCGGTTCATAACTAACGGAAATGACAAAAGGGCCTACTTTATTTTTTGGTCTACATTGCCAATTCACGAACTCCGATCTACAAATTTGATAAAGAATCCTCCTGCAAAATTTCATCGTAATCGGTCCATTCGTTTATGAGTTATCATGCTAACGGACGGACGGACAGACACCGCAAAATTATAAACTCGCTAGGAGCTCGTTGATAATATATTACATGCTGATTTTCACTGGGATCAAGTGTGAAGTGTCCTACATTTAAGACGGGCTTGCGAAATGTTTGTGACTGGTGCAACAGTTTAAGACCGATTTGGAACTCAATCTACGTATTAAACTGTGGGTAGAGCTTAAGTTGGGTTGGTGCAACAAGGCTTTAGTATTGTAAAACCTTGACAAAAAGCCTGAGCAAACATTTTCGTGGTCTTTTAAGAAACACAAGTTATCAAAAGACCATATTGTATTTAAGTTTAAAACTGTTAGAAAAAACACGACAGTAGTTAGAAATGCTTTCGAAATTCTATGTCTATGTTGGCCAAGTAATTTATAAATGTTAAAAGATTTGTGTAAATTTTCCAACTAACGCTGTAGCAAATTTAGTTTTACAGAATATTTATGACAAAAATTATCTAATGAGTTAGAGGTTATGTTTTATATACCACAACAAACAGTTTGAAAACTTAAATATTCTATCTATAGGAGATAATTTATGTGGATTGTAGCAGGTCTTACTTTTAATAAGCTAGAAAGGGTGTGAAGTGAGATAGAATACACAACTAAAAGCGCCGATGCCATTCATACGTCTTTTGAGTAGGCTGGTATCAATGACACATTTAACTGTTTTAAAAAAATCAAGTTACCTCTGATTGAAATTTTGAAAATTGACAGAGTGATTTCTTTTTACACAAAAAAAGTTTAACTTTAGCTGTTCAGCGTATGTTAGTACATTTCATGATTAGTGCCACTGCAAAGTCACGGCCTTCTAAGTTTTATGAAAACTGTGATATTCAATTTTTACTGGACATCTACTTTTTGAAAAAAACGATGAATTGCGGCTAAACTGCTTATTTTGGATATCATGTGTAATACATACCTAGTATAGTCACACTAAAATTGACCAAGGAATCGAAATATGTGATAATATACAGGGAGTTCCATTTAAAAAAATGCAACTTTGATATAAATCACCCTGCATAACAATTGCAATTTTGGTGAAAATATTTTTAGGTTGTACCCTTAAGGGTCCTTCAACATTCCCCAACAATGAATTTTAAATATGCGCGTTAATAAACCCACAATCGTCCACCCACACACTAATGTGTGGCCCACCCTGTATATTGTTGTGTAAACAACGTCATGTAGACGTAATTTCGGTCTAAACATCAAAAATAATGACGGCGCACCCTGTATTTCCAATTCTAAGTAAATCCGGAGTTAATTACGAAAGTTACAGTTCGTTCGTTTTATTTGATATTGCTTGTTTTTCCTCTGAGAATTGTTTGTAATTGCGTAGTTCTTTGTAAATTTGATCGCTTTTGTAAATTACTCAATTTAGATAAGGTGCTTTAACTAAGGCACATCTGGTCATTTGCGATAAGGAGTTTATCAGGCGAAAATTAATTAACGCATGTGTTTTATCGCTGTTAAGAGGTGAGGTGTTTCGAAAATTGCGCGTTTCATTTAGGAGAAGTGGAGACGTTTGGCGCGCTCCGTCATTGATTGGCGATTTGAAATATGTGAAAGGAGTTTACTTGATGGTGAAAATGGTGTGCGAGAGACAATGAGTAAAGGGCTGCTGCTGCAGTTACATTTCGCGACTGCTGAAAAGTGTGTATATCTGTTTACGGTTAATTACGGGCTGTTAGTGCTAGTTGTTTTGTTGAAGTTATGCTTGCCATTTAGTTCTGTGTTATAAAACAAAGTGAATTTCAGAAGCTGTTTGCGCTTGTTTGAGTTTAGTGCGCCTTATGTCACAAATTTGGTACCAGATTATTTGGATTATTTAAAAAAAATTGTAAGTACTTTTAAGATTTCTTACTTTATTTGTTGACTTGTCGCCTGCGTGCGGATATGTTCAAACAAGCTTTTCTTTCTTTCAGGGATTTTGTTTTAATATTGTTTCATTGTCTGTTGGAATAAATGTTTGTCATTGTCAGTCAATCATTTGTGTTCATTCGAATCCTATGTATGACCTTTATATAGTTTTCATGTCAGATTTTTCTTTTATAATATATGGGATATAAAACTAAGGACTGGTGTATTGTCGAGTCGAAGCGTGTTGTCTGTGGGGTTCGTGAGATCGCATAATCAGCTATATACAGTATAATTATAAACTAAGAAATTCTGTACTCATTATTTATATGTATTTAGCTAAATTCATGGCCGCTATTAAAACGTTGTTATTGGTAACTTTCGAAATGAATTTATAGAATTGTTTAAACTTCCATTTCAAAGTTTAACAGTCATCTTAAGACTGCTTTAACCATTTCGGTATCATTGTGTTTCTGACGTCACTTCATGTCATATTCAGAAGATATATACTCAAGATTAGCACTGCTTATGCAAATAGGCTGCGTAATCCTAAATATATTTGTGAATTTTGTTATATAATCTTTAATGTATACATCCGTAAAAGGGACTCATTAATACGATTTTGCAATTTACTCCCGAAATTATATGGATAGTAGATGGAGCCAGTGCCAAAACTGGAGATGACTCAAATTAATTTTTAAAAATTGAGACCCAATTAATTGTGTGCAATAGAGAAGCGCGTTTTTAATTATAAAAATACCGTAAATATTTTGCCTGTAGAAATTTCTCAAAGAGTAAAATGTTACGTCGATAAAAGATTAATTTTGCATTCCAGTCCAGTTCATAAACATCTGCAAATGACGGTGTTTAATTAAGATATTGCATTAGAAATAAAGGAATGCAAGTTGAAAACAAATATTGATAGGACATTTTGATTTCACAGAAGAGATGCTTGAAAACTGCTTGTGTCTGCCTAAATCCGATTAATTCATAACATTGTAAAAACCGAAAGAAGTATACATATAAACATATTGCCTAATCATCTATATAAATAATTCATAAATAATCACATAAAGACTGTGGCAACAATATGTAAATATTATTTAGATTTAGAAAAGCTTCTGTGTATAGCAAATTTCTGAAAAGTGAATATTTATTGCAGATGTTTGTTTTCTTATTTTGTTTATGGCACCTATGTACAGCATGTCCCCAATTTAAGGATCTTGGAAACCGTAAGAGATAAGACGTTGTTTAAATGTAGGCATACTTGTGCATTATAAGGCCCAATCCGAACACTACTCAGAAAGTGACTGATCCAAAACTTTCAGAGATAACTGGAAAAAACATACTTGGTAATTTTTGTTATTTTCTTGTGAAGAGTTCTTTGAAAACAAATATGATGATGGCATGATTAGATTTGAAGTGTCGGGTTTTTTGGGGCCATCATCAACTTTATTAACGAGCTCCCAGCAAGCTCTTTTTTCGCTTGCGAGTGCTTTTTCCACTCATGAGCGGTTTTTTCCGCTCCTCAGCGTTTTATTTCGCTCGTGAGCCCGTTTAACCACCCTCAAGCGCTGAAGGATTAAGCGCCGCTCACGAGCGTTTTTTCCGCTCACGAGCACTTTTCTTGAGCACTCGCAATAAACCGCTCGAGCAGTTTTAGGAGTGGTCAGAACTCGCAAGCGGTTTCGCTTTGCAAAACAACTCGACGCTCGCGAGCATTTTTGAGAAAATTAGAGCGCTCGTCGCTCGAGCGGTTCTTTAGAACGCTCGACCTAGCTCTGGCGCATACACTTCAACAAATTTTTTTTCGTAAATTGGAATTGACTGATATGCAGTTGCTCTGACGCCCATAACCATAAAGCGGGTTGGTATGCAGGGTCTTCAACGGGAAACTAATAATATTTAGGTCTCGATTTAGGTTATCAATGCGCCTGTTTCAGCTGGAATATTTCAGTTTTATACCACATACAGTGAAATTTAAATCAAAACTTTTTGAATTACTGTAAGGCGCCAAAAATAAACTTGTAGAAGAAAAAATCCCAAGAAAAATGCACTTTGATATCATTTGTAACGGGAGCCCGTTAACGGCTTTTTAGGGGGGTCTGTCTGTCTGTGAACACGATAACTGGCAAACGCTGGGACCGATTCGGCACAGTTGGTCTATATACAGACCTATTGAAAATGGGTCAAATTCAATGACTGTAGGATCACACCAGTGTGTCACATTTCTAGATCCGCCTTACACGTGGTTTATTTAATTTGAATGGGCGAGCGGTCCTGAAATACGGT